TAAGTGACAGGGTTGTTTCCTGTGATGAGCTCATCAATGGGCGTTATTTTGTTGCCGATCAGTTTCAGGAGCTTGGTTCAAGTGCATCTGCCCACAGGAGATGAACTGACTAAAGTGCCGACAAATTATCTAAACCTGGAAACCCAAGGGCTAGGTCATGACCAGGTAAATTCACCCTTGGGATTCCTCTGGATGTGATCTGTTAGATCGAGTTCTGACACTGAATGGTGATGGGAGGCAGTGTGTGGGGCCAGACGTTCCTGGCACTGAGGCTGGTTTTGCCATTCATGCTCTGGCTTCCCGTAAGCTAGTCATTTAATCTCTCTGAGCCTCTTCTTCCTCTTCTACGAAACAGGAAGATAGTCCTTTGGGGTTCTATTCTGGCTTCAATATTTAAACAAAAGCAGCGAACTAGCAGATCTGTTGAATTAGAAACACCTGCCTCCCCTCCTCTCCTGTTCCACATTCTCCAGTCCTGACTGGTGGGTCCACCTGCCATTCATTTACCCATCAGAGGGGCGGGCAGCATCCTTCACTCGACCCCACTGCCCATGGGAACCTCCTCAAAGTGCTCTTGGACACACAGCCTGTCACACTGCTGTGATTTCTTCCAATGGTGTCTCAGCAAATGCAGTGACATTTTTAAGGGAGCCACTGCCCCTGAGGAATAATTCTATTTGCTGCAAAAACAGCTGCCTTGACATCTCCCCTCTCCTCGGCCAACACTAAGGCATGGTGTTCTTCAAGGATCCACCACACGAGACCACCTCATTAACACCAAAATTATCCCAGGCCTTAGCATTCTCTCATCTATGAAATACATATCCTTCTAAACCAGGCAAATCAAAAGATGTTCAGACACTGTACGGATCATCTTTATGCACTCAAAAGAACGACTCAAGACACGCGTAGAGAGTGGATTTTCATATCGGTGTCTCCTTGACCCAGTTAAATTTTTATTCAGTGAAAAAAGTTGACATTGAGACAAAAATTATCGTAAAACTGTGCAATATAGTAAAATCTTCAGCATAAATTGGTGATTTGGAAACGTATCAAGGCAATGGAAATCATAAATGCCTAATTTCATTCTGGAGAGACACAAGTATACAGTGTTTCACTTTAAATAAGGGCAGAGGAGGCCTTTATTTTGCTGCCAATACCTTTGATTTTGCCTAAAGTTCCTAATAATTCATCACAAGAGTCTTTAAATGAGAAATGACATGGACTGTCTGAGAATAATGGTCCGTCAGCACTCATGCTTATTCCATTTGCATTATTATAGATGAAACGAATACCATTCTTGGGTTACTTGGCTCTGAGGACTTAATTCCTAATATGGCTGCTCAAAATTAGTGGGCAGAAACACATACACAATCCATCCTCCCTCAACCCACATTCGGTGGTGGTTCCCACCCCGAGAATGTGCTCATTGTCCATGTACCCGACTACACATACCTCTTGCTATCTATTCCGTATCTCAGTCTTGCATAGAAAGTAGTCTATATAAGCTTAATGCACTGGCTTTTGTTACACAAAAGTTGCACCTGAAAGGCAGGCAGCACACACTCCAGTTAATAAAAATAACACACTAGGAATGTCAAGATACAATCCCAACAAAGTGAAGATTCTGCACAGGGCTTGAGGGTCAATTCTGAAAATCAGTATGGAGACGGTATTCGGTGGGTTCATCTCCCAGACCCCTTGAGCAAGGGGGTCTCCCAGCTCTGCTGAAGGAAGAGAAGAATCTTCTCAGGGATTCACCATGACCCCCTTAGTAGGAAAGTGACCACCCAAACCTACCAAGATGAGGTTTCTGCCCTTAAGGAAGTACTGGGACTATCATCTTACAGGACGGAGTGACCGCTGGGTGGATGTCTGAAGGTAGGATTCTCCCAGGGGAAGTGGGTGGCTATCTAGAAGAGCCTCACCATATCATTGCTCTCCCCTGCTCCCCCAAAATGGCCGTTATTTGAGAAGGGCGACATTCCGTAAAGGGCTGAAGCACGGCTTCATCTAGTAGGCCAGGAGGATGGGCAGGAGGGGGAATACAGCTCTGTGTGCCACACCTGTCCTACCCAAATATCCCTAGAGATCCTACCAGAATGGAACCCCAGGAACCTCTGTTCCCGAGGTCCAAAGTTTCAACTCGTTACCCAGCATCATAACCTTGTATCCAGTATGCCGGGGCCACCCGCGGTCACTGGACCTTCTCACCTGTCTGGAAATGTCTGCATAGACATGGCTTCTCCCCAGACTCCTCTGCAGAATTCTACTCTTTGTCATTTCATCCACACAGACTTGTGTCTCAGCAGGCTCGAGAGGCATTCAATACACATAGGGGCAAAACCAGCTTCCAGAGAAAACTCTGTACACAGTGCCCCTGCCCGCCAAATTTCGGTGGTTCATCAGTGGTGCATCGTGGTCCACATGGATGTGGGCTGCTGACATTCCAATGTGCACTGGGAAAGAATCACATTTTTTCCCTGTGCAGTGTGAACTTTTGAGGTGGCATCTCCAAAGAGGTCCAAAGCCCCTTCTGCACAATCAACCAGGGGCTCCACCTGGTCACAGTGAAGACAGTTATCTGGTCACGTTCAAAGGCTGCGCACAGTTTCCGTTCTCACCTCCTGTGGTCACTCCAACCTTTGGACCTCTGCAGGCAGCAGATATACACCAAAACCCCACGCAGCTCCGCAGAGGGAAGGAAGACTGGGCGCTTCAAAAGTCCATAAAAATAAACAGTTCGCACATAACTGCATCTACCTGGCTTAGTCTTCAGAAACTTAGCTCTTCTGTTTATATAAAATACTCTAGCCCTAAAAGGCTGCTTTTTCTCAAACAGCACAGTGGCGGTTTCCAAGGAGAGGGGTGATGGCCAGTCTGTACAGTACTGTGCACTAAGCACTGGGAGGCCCTGGGAACAAGAAATGAACGCTCAGAAACATCTCAAGTTGCCAGCTGGAGAACCAGGCTCTGTAAACAAAGGTTTGCCTCCAGGAAGACTGAAAATAAAGTCTCAGAGCCTTTCAGGTCAGCTTTCACAAATGGCATCCAAAAATTGGCCGAAAAAAAGAAGACAATATACTTTCTAGTGGTTCAGTTAAATGACTTGCCTCCCACCAGACTGTTCGTCTTTCAGCTATGTAAAGAGCTTTGCTAAAGGGGTGTGGGTGGGGGGGAGGGCTTGGAGTTCCGAACAAAACCCGAAGACGACACAAGGTAAAGCCAAAGAAATTCCATTCTTTAAAAAGGTAACAAAAGGAGAGAGAAAGAAGGGGAAAAAAATGTAGAAGGAAGTTCATCATGACCACCACTTGCTAAAATAAAATGGAGCCTTACCCACACGGCATACTACGTGTCTACAGTTTAAAACACTCTTTGCTGAAAATATATACATATATAAATTAAAAAATTTTTAACTAAAAAATGGAATTGGCTCTTTGTTTTCCAGACAGTCACTAGCTAGAACGAAACTATCGTATCACCCAAGAATGATACTTTTGGTGAAAAAAAAGCAAATACTTGTGAGAAGGTGATGGGCAGCATCTCAGAGGCAATGTTTTTTTGTTTTTGTTTTTTCTTTTTTTAACACAGCTCGCCTATTAAGGACACACATTCAGAAGCATGACTTTGGACTGTCCCCACAGCTCACTGCTTCTCGGCTGAGACGTTCTGCAGTGAAGTCCATACAGCAGGCGTCACAGCAACGTTGGACATTGGTGCCTACAATGCTAGGTCTAAAGGGCGGGCATCAGTCCACAATGGATAACACGTACTTATCAAGTGGCCATGGGCTGAATACTAGGGTGGCATTTAAAGGCAGAAGAAAGAAAGAAAAAAACAGAGGAAAAAGCTCAGTTTGTTTTACAGAGAGAATAAACTCTAGTGTTGTTCCAGCTATTAACTGGGTAGAACAGTCTCTGATTCATGGGTCTCTTGTATCTCTGTAAGAGCAAACAGCACTCTTTAAACTGGGCAGGGGTATGGGGCAAGGAGATGGAAGGAAAGGAAAAAAAGAAAAAAAAGAGAGAGAGAGAGAGAGAAGGCACTGACCCAATTCAAAATGACTGCATATATCAGTGTAGATTTTTAAAGACAGTAAGTGGCCACCTCAACACAAATACAAAATTTTACATTCCAGATTCTTCAGTGGTGAAGTAAAACCACAAGCCAAAGAGAACAAAGCAGGTGCTCTATCTGCCAGTGTATCTATCGTGGTTCTCCCACGACCCGAGTTCATTTTTTGCAAGGACCATGACACCTGTGTGCAATAAAGCAGGGTCACCATTTTGTGGTGGTGAAGGCTACACCATGTTCTGGGGTGCATACAGTGAGATTCCCCCAATTAACATGCAAGAAGAGACTGCTGTCTGTGTAACTGAAACCTAGCAGTGACTCGGTGTGCTCTCCTGCCAAATACCACCATGTGACACACAAGGGACTAAAACTGGATTGTTTCCTGAACGGCGACAAGATGGCTGCTATTCTCCACCCCTCGACCCTACGGGCGAGGGGTTCCTAACATGCAGTGCCATCAGATGACCGCTAAAGCCTTGCCTTATACGGGGTCCCAATAAATTAACAAAATAACAGGAAAGAACCCACCGCTATAATACACACACTTTCATGTAAACTAAATCTGAATGAAGTTTAAAATTTGAGCACACGTTCAAGAAGAGGGAGGGGTCCCACCCGTCACCCTCTCTTGAAGTTTTTATTAAATACATTTCTGTGTCTTAGAAAAAGAAAAAGAATGGCCAGTTTATGGAATCAAAATGATCCCACAGACTTAAAAGCATGCCCAGCAAGCACGGCCCTGTAAGACTACATGAAATGTGAAAGTAAAGCAATTTGGTTACTAAAATCAACCTGGTTGGAAGTTCACAGTTGATTACTACAAAGTATATCCATTCCTTTCTTTCCTTTTTTTTGTTTTTGTTTTTTTTTTTGATTTTTGTTTTTGGCCCATATAAAAATAACATATTGCAACTCAAAGTGCATCTTTTTAAAATAAACCATCAACTATCTTTATCAAATAAAATATTTACACCATTTGGTTTCTAGTGAGGAAAAGCTCTTTCAGGCTATCACCATGGGGACGTCGTCTGAAAATCCAGTTATCATAGGAGCATCTTCATCGTCTTCCCCTAAAGGCAAAACCAAGTCGGTCCTTGGTGAGTCCCAGAGCACTTGCGCCCAGCCCCAGCACCCGTCCCTCCACCCCAGCCGCCCCCAACACCATCACGGGCCCCCAGCCTGGGAAATCAGTGCCACAGCCCTCCAGGCCCAGTGGTCAAAGCCAAAACCCAACTCAGCTGCCCCCTGATGCTCTTGGGTCACCTTCTCCCCGACCATGGTGACCAAGCTTATTTTAGTGGTACCTTGAACTTAACCCAGGAAAGAAAGTACATCTTTTAGGGAAGGGAATCTTAGTACCTACCCAAAAGTCCAATGGGTGATGTAGGTTCCCTAATTTGAGGTATCCACACCCTACAATAACACATTGAACTTCCTTTATCTGTTTTCTCCTCTGAACCCACACTGCTCCGAGGAAAGGGATCTCAGAGGGGTTGAAGCTACTTGAGAACAGCTTCCCAGACTAATGAATGTCCCCTTGTGGCCCCCGGTACAATCCTGTACAACCACCTTGCGATCCACATTCAGTGATCACTGTGTGGTACCATTAACTCCTTTTGCCGCCAATGACAGAAGCAAAGAGCCTACCCAATCATACAAAGCAGACCAAATACTCGTACTAAGCAAGACAGGAAACTGAGGAGGGAGCAAAGCTAACCTCAAATGATCAGTGACTGGGGAATATACAAATATCTTTATAAACAAAAATATATATAAGTGGTTTACAGGAGGAAAAATAGGTATGAAAACTCACAGTCCACAGTCTGAGTTTGGGGAAGACCCCAAAACACACCTGACTTATTATACTAAGTGGTCTACTAGTTCTACTAGCATTTTGTAATTAGAGCACGTAGACATTTTAAAAGCAGTATTTCTTTCTTTGCTCCACACTGTGTTATGGATCCATAAAAGCAGAATGACTGGTGAGGTGGCCCTAGTGATCAGAAAGAGACACAGCCAGATGGAAAAGGCTTCTTTGGACAGAAGTCAGTTGGGAAGGCGTGACTTCTTATCTTGACTGTGCTCTTCAAAGATGTCAGACCTCCAGGCCCATGAAAGATGAGAGTGGTTGGAAATTCCTGAAAATCTGCTGATACATTGGGGGTATTGAAGACCCAGGGCCCATCCATCCTTCCTGTACAAGGCCAGCACCCCCCACCCCAGTGTTCCACATAACCTCTCCACTGAAGAGAAGGCCAGCATTTTAGTTCAGGAGCAAGTTCAAAGCAAAGGGCACTGGCTGGTTTAACCTAGAGCTGTAGTATCACTGGCTGATGAGGAATCACTCAAGTGTCAAGTTGAGGGGGTCTGCGCTGGGGGGAAGGTCCAGGACACCCCACCTCACTTACCCAGGTCATCCCCGGAGGAGAAGATAGCCGAGCCCAGCCGGGAGCTGTAGTGGCTGTTGGCAAAAGCAGTGAAACTACTCTGCAGCCTCCGATGCTTTGTGTAGAGGACGGCAAAGCCAATGGCCAAGCTCAGCAGTATCAGGAAAAGGATGGGGACCACGACGGCGGCCACGTCCGGAGACCTAGCAGCCTGGGCTGCGGACGCATCTGCACCTGCCGACGAAGACGGCCGCACGTGAGCCTCCTCTGTAAAGGCGGTTGAGTTGGCCAGGCACCTTACCACCTCACCCCACCCCCGACAAAAACGGGGAGCTTGCCAACGGTCACCCAAACCGCCAGCCTGGTGTGGCCTGCTCCTGCACAGGACGCCCGGTTGTGTCCCCGTGCCTTGCCACGAGTGGAGAGACCACGGGCCTCATGCAGGCAAATATGGCAATTACGTGAGACTCCTCATCACTGCCTTATTGTTTGTTGAGATAATCTCTTGGAAGGGAGGCCTTTGTTGGGGTTTCGACATTGATTTCATTAGCATTATTACTTAAGACCACTTGCTTGCCTTCCATAAGAGGATGTGAAGTCAGACCACGAATTAATGAGATTGCAATTATTTCCCCCTACTTGGCTGCTCTGAACCGCAATTACCTAAAACTCCGTTGAATGATACAAACGGCATCCCTTTACTGCAACACTGACTTAACAGCTCATGAAGTTTTATGAGGTTTTTATGAGGCTTACTTAAATAAAAGAGAGAAAGAACCATTCCATATACGTTTAACATTTTTAAAATGCAGTCTGCAAAGCCATTCAGGTGTCTGTAACCTAACAATGACACCTGCTTCCCACTGCCTTAAACAAATTCTCACTTTATGCTGATACACGGAGAGATTTGTACCAATAGGGCCCTAGGGCAAAGCCAGTCCTCTGCTGGGTTAGGGCCAGTCTTAAAAATCCCTGGGGAGGGGCACCTGGGTGGTTGGGTTAGTTAAGTGTCCCACTTCGGCTCAGGTCTTGATCTCATGGTTCCTGGGTTCAAGCTCCGTGTCGGGCTCTGTGCTGACAGCTCAGAGCCTGGAGCCTGCTTTGGATTCTGTGTCTCCCTCTCTCTCTGTCCCTTCCCTGCTCGCTCTCGCTCAAAAACAAACAAACATTTTTAAAAAACTTTTTTTTCCAAATTCCTGGGGAAAGTCAGTGCCCGAGGTAGGAAAATGGAACCTGGGAGTCAGTTTTAGCTAAGGAAGCAAAGTGGACCTTCTCTGTCCTCTGAGGAGCCTCATCAAGCTTGAGGCTGCTCCCTGGTTTGGGGCAAGGTGCTGGGGGACAGGCCTGAGCCTCACAGGGAAGGCCCTGAAGCCACCCAGGGATTCATCCCAACAAGATGGGCCAGAGAACAGCCACTTCTTGCGAGCCTAATCTAACAGCTCAATAGCCACGTCTTCAAATTCTTTCGTTATTGACCTACTGGGAAAAGCTGCAGCAGAATCTTACTTCACACAGCCCAATGTCACCCCATCTGTGAAGTGGTAAATTAGGGGACTGCTCTTGCCTGGAACACGTAAGAGGAACCAATGTGGTAGAGGAAAGAGGAATGCGTGAGCCCCCATCTGCCCATCTGGCTTCTGTGGGATAAGACGGAGACTCACCGAGGCCTCCCTAAGAGATTCTTTCTGCTGGACAGTTCTGGTTTTATAAAAGCAACAGTTTTTTGCCTCCAAGTCTATTTCACAGTTGCTAATTAGTTTTGCTTAAAAAGGAGGTTCTATTTCAGAAACGCTAGGTTAACAAGACTTCTGTTCTTTGTTTTCTGTGAGACCTTCTCGGAACCTCCCATATGCTTGGATTCTCCAAAGGGACACAGGCTACAAGATCTTCCTCTTTCAGGGAGGTGCCTGGGACACACAACATGACAGAACACACAACTCCAAAGCAGGATTTTGGCTTATGCATTGGTGAGCTCCCGGCTGGGAGTAAATGGAACTAAAAAGGCCAGTGGCAAAACATGCATTGACATGCTGGCCAGGCTACTACGACACAAGCAGAATTTCTGGGTAAATGAAAGGCTTCTCTTCTGCCCTCCACCCTCAGTATGACTCATCACTGATATCTGGGAGTGTTTATAAAACAAGATGCTGGCCAAATTCAGGTTCTGATCTGGACTGATGGCTAAGATGAAGGGCGAGGCTATACAATCCGTTACTCTATGGGAAGGAGATTATCTACTGACTTGGAAGAATCACAGGGAACTTTAGCATACTGGAGGCTCTGGGAAGTCCTGCAAACAACTAGCGACAAAACTCATACTAACCAAGCATTTCCCGAGCAGAATCTCCATTTTAAACAAAACCTACTGCTACCCTGTTCCATCTTGTGGGCTCTAGACTCAGAATATGGTCACTTGGTAACCCCAGCTCTTCACACCATGCCTGGCTCAGGAGGTATTTGTTAAATAAATCAGTGCATGATTCCACAGATGCATAAATGACTTTCTTTTGAACTGAAGGAATGTTTTAAATGTACTTGAGAAAGACACACATTTGTCAGACAGCGCCACATCCTTCGTCTATTTCCCCAGAACTGAAGACAGAAACTGGCTACACGAGTAACTTACCAGACCCCAATTCGTCATACAGTAGGACAGCAGGCTCCCCACAGATCTGGCTGCCAAAAAGGCATCTTGCTTGCACAGTGAAAGTGTAATTATGACCCAATTTCAGGTTGGAAATTTTAAAGAAATTGTCGGTAGTGTTCCCAAGGTAAGCTGAGATATTCATGGCACTATCAAACATGTGTATCTCATAGCCCTGAAAACAAAGACATGAGAGATTGTTCGGAAGTTGAATAAGGAATCTGACAGCTTCTATTACCGGTTCCAACTTTATGTGGGCTCCTTATTGCAGGCTTTTATAGACGCTAAAGCACTTTGGGTTTCTTACTAGATCTTTTTACATTACCACTGAGATACTGGATTCAGGAAATGGTAATTTTCCCATCCCAAACATCACACCCACTCACAAGCTACAAAGTGGAGGTGAAAAGTACAGCCCTAATAAAAGCCCATTTTAGAGAGCTCCATGCATTTTGCTTGCACCCATCTCTCAAAAGAGAAGGCCTGAAGTCATAGGACACTGAGCCATGGGAGTTTGGGAAGAGAAAGAGACAGAATACACTAAGGAAGCCTCATAAGTGTGGCTACCTCAAGAAACAAGCCAAAGTATACATAGTGGAGAGGGAAACAAAATAACCAAACTCTCAACAGGAGAAACCAAGAGACACCATTCAAAGAATACTTCCTGTACGGACAGGCCCTGAACAGTCAAAGAGTCCTCTTTAATACAGTAGAACTCACAGGGGCAGAGTGTACAACAAGCTTTTAAAATTAACAAGAGATAGAAAGCTAACCAAAATGACGAAATTGAAGAACTCCCTTCTAAAGATTCCAGGAAGAAATGACAGCTAAAGAATTGCTCAAAACAGAAATAAGCAACATAACTGAACAAGAATTTAGAACAATATTCATAAAATTGATCACTGGGCTTGATAAAAGCATGGAAGACATCAGAGAAACGATTGCTACAAAGACTATGGAGCTCAAAAAAAGTTATGATGAATTAAAAAATGCGATAAATGAGATACATAATAAAATGGAGGCGTCCAATGCACGGAGTGAAGAGGCAGAAAGGAGAATAAGTGATTTAAAACACAACTATAGAAAAGGAGGAAGTTGAGTAAAAGAGAGATAAACTGATCCAGGAACATGAAAGAAGAGTTCGAGATCTCAGTGATACAATCAAACAGAACAATATCCATATCATAGGAATCCCAGAAGAGGAAGGGAGAGGGAAAGGTGCTGAGGGAGTCCTGGAACAAATTATAGCAGAGAACTTCCCCAATCGGGAGGAGGACACAGACGTTGAAATCCAAGAGAACCAGAGGATTCCCCTCAGACATAATTTGAATCGATCTTCTGCACGACATATCATAGTGAAACTGGCAAAATATAAGGACAAAGAGAGAATTCTGAAAGCAGCTAGGGAGAAAAGGGCCCTAACATACAAAGGGAAACCTAACAGAGTGGTGACAGACCTATCTACTGAAACTTGGCAGGCCAGAAAGGAATGGCGGGAGATCTTCAATGTGATGAACAGAAAAAAATATGCAGCCAAGAATCCTCTATCCAGCAAGCCTGTCATTCAGAACAGAAGAAGAGAGAAAAGTCTTTCCAAATAAACAAAAATTGAAAGAATTTGTCACCACTAAACCAGTCCTACAAGAAACCCTGAGGGGGACTCTCTGAGGGAAATGTTGCAAGGAACTCAAGATACTAGAGATATCACCACAAGTATGAATCCCACAAATGACACAATGACTCTAAAGCCATATATTTCAATAATAACACTGAATGTAAATGGACTAAATGTCCCAATCAAAAGACACAGGATAGCAGAATGGATAAAAAAAAAACACAAAAAACAAAATCCATCTATTTGCTGTCTACAAGAAACATATTTTAGACTGGAGCACACCTTCAGATTAAAAGTAAGAGGATGGAGGAGGGCACTCGTGGGGATGAGCACTGGGTGTTATATGGAAACCAACTTGACAATAAACCATTTGTAAAAAAATAAATAAATAAAAATAAAAGAGGATGGAGAAATATCTATCATGCTACTGGAAGTCAAAAGAAAGCTGGAGTAGCTATACTTATATCAGACAAACTGGATTTTAAATTAAAGACAGTAACAAGGGATGAAGAAGGGCATTATATAATGATTACAGGGTCTATCCATCAGGAAGAACTAACAATTATAAATGTCTACACATCAAATATGAGAGCACTTAAATATATAAAACAATTAATCACAAACAGAAACAATCTTATAGATAAGAATGTGCTAACAGCACTGAACTTTATTTTATTTTTTTTTAATGTTTTATTTATTTATAGGAGAGAGAGAGAGAGACAGCGTGAGAAGGGGAGGGTCAGAATGAGAGGGAGTCACAGACTGAAACAGGCTCCAGGCTCTGAGCTGGCAGTCAGCACAGAGCCCGACGCGGGGCTCGAACCCATGAACCGCGAGATCATGACCTAAGCGAAAGTCGGACGCTTAACTGACTAAGCCACCCAGGCTAATAGCACTGGACTTTAATACTCCACTTACACAAATGGATAGATCAACTAGACAGAAAATCACTAAAGAAACAATGGACTTGAATGACACATTGGCCCGGATGGATCTGACAGATATATTTAGAACTCTACATCCTGAGGCCATGGAATTCACTTTCTTCTCAAGACCGCATGGCACATTATCCAGGATAGACCACATACTGGGACATAAAGCAGCCCTCAATAAATATAAAAGAATTGAGATCATACCATGCACACTTTCATATCACAATGCTATGAAACTTGAAATTAATCACAGGAAGAAGCCTGGAAAACCTCCAACAACATGGAGGTTAAAGAACACCCTACTAAAGAACGAATGGGCCAATCAGGCAATTAGAAAAGAAATTAAAAAATATATGGAAACAAATGAAAATGAGAACACAACAATCCAAACTCTATGGGATGCAGTGAAAGCAGTCCTACGAGAAAGTACATTGCACTCCAGGTGTATTTGAAGAAATGAGAAAAAGTGTAAGTGCAAAATCTAACAGTGCACCTAAAGCAACTAGAGAGAGAGCACAACAAGAGCACCCCACACCCAGTAGAAGAAGAGAAATCATAAAAATCAGGGCCGAAATAAACACTACAGAAACCAAAGAAACAGTTGAACAGATCAATGAAGCCAAGACTTGGTTTTTTGAAAAAATAAACAAAATTGACAAACCTCTAGCCAGGCTTCTCAAAAAGAAACGAGAGAGGACTCAAATAGACAAAATCATGAATGAAAATGGACTGATTATAACCCCTCAGAAATACAAGCAATTATCAGGGAATACTATGAAATATTATATGCCAACAAACTAGACAACTTCGAAGAAATGGACAAATTTCTAAACACACACTCACTACCAAAATTCACATGGGAAGAGATAGAAAATCTGAACAGACCCATAACTAGTTAAGAAATCGAATCAGTTACCAAAAATCTCCCAACAAATAAGAGCCGTGGGCCAGATGGCTTCCCTGGGGAATTCTACCAGACATTTAAAACAGAATTAATACCCATTCTTCTCAAGCTGTTCCAAAAAACAGAAATCGAAGGAAAACTTTCGGACTCATTTTATGAAGCCAGCATCATTTTGATTCCCAGGCCAGAGACCCAGCAAAAAAAGAGAACTACCGGCCAATATCCTTGATGAATACAGATGCAAAAATCCTCAACAAGATACTTGCAAATCGAATCCACAGCACATAAACAGAATTATCCACCAAGATCAAGTGGGATTCATTCCTGGGTTACAGGCTGGTTCAATATTCGCAAATCAATCAATGTGATACTTCACATCAACAAAAGAAAAGATAAAAACCATATGATTCTGTTGATAGATGCAGAAAAAGCACTTGACAAAATACAGCATCCCTTCTTAATAAAGACCCTCGAGAAAGTCGGGATAGAAGGAACTTACTTAAATATCATAAAAGCCTTCTATGAGAGTCCCTCAGCTAACATCATCCTCAACAGGGAAAAACTGAGAGCTTTCCCCCTGAGATCAGGAACACGACAGGGATGTCCACTCTCACCGCTGTTGTTTAACATAGTGCTGGAAGACCTAGCTTCAGCCATCAGAAAACAAAAGGAAATCAAAGGCATCAGAACTGGCAAAGAAGAAGTCAAACTCTCACTTCTCGCAGACGACATGATACTCTACATAGAAAACCTGACAGACTCCACTAGAACTGATCCATGAATTCAGCAAAGTTGCAAGATACAAAATCAACATACAGAAATCGGTTGCCTTTTTATACATCAACCATGCAGCAACAGAAAGAGAAATCAAGAAACTGATCCCATTCACAATTGCACAAAATACAATACCTAGGAATAAACCTAACCAAGGATATAAGAGATCTGTATGATGAAAACTATAGAAAACTTATGAAGGAAATTGAAGAAGACACAAAGAAATGGAAAAACATTCCATTCTCATGGATTGGAACAATAAATATAGTTAAAATGTCATTACTACCCAAAGCAATCTACTCACTCAATGCAATCCCAATCAAAATTGCACCAGCATTCTTCTCAAAACTAGAACATACTATCCTCAAATTTGTATGGAATCACAAAAGACCCGAATACCCAAAGTAATACTGAAGAAGAAAAACAAAATGGGAGGCAATACCATCCCAGACTTTAGCCTCTACTACAAAGCTGTCATCATCAAGACAGTATGGTATTGGCACAAAAACAGACACACAGACCAATGGAATAGAGAACTCAGAATTGGAGTCAAAAGTGTACAGCCAACTAATCTTTGACAAAGCAGGAAAGAGTATCCAATGGAAAAAAGCCAGCCTCTTCAACAGATGGTGCTGGGAGAACTGGACAGCAACATGTAGAAGAATGAAACTAGATCATTTTCTCACACTATCCACAAAAATAAACTCAAAATGGATAAAGGATCTGAATGTGAGACAGGAAACCATTAAAACCCTAGAGGAGAAAGCAGAAAACAACCTCCTTGACCTCAATCGCAGCAATTTCTTACTGAATACATCCCCAAAGGCAAGGGAATCAAGAGCAAAAATGAACTATTGGGACCTCATCAAGATTAAAAGCTTCTGCATGGCAATAGAAACAATCCATAAAACTAAAAGGCAACCGACGGAATGGGAAAAGATAGTTGCAAATGACATATCAGATAAAGGGCTAGTATCCAAAATCTATAAGGAACTCACCAAACTCCACACCCGAAAAACAAACAACCCAGTGAAGAAATGGGCAGAAGATATGAACAGACACTTCTCCAAAGAGGACATCCAGATGGCCAACAGACACATGAAACGATGCTCAGCATCCCTCCTCATCAGGGAAATACAAATCAAAACCACACTGAGATACCACCTCATGCCAGTCAGAGTGGCTAAAATGAGCAAATCAGAGAACTCTAGATGCTGGTGAGGATGTGGAGAAACGGGCACCCTCCTACAGTGTTGGGGGGAATGTAAACTGGTACAGCCCCTCTGGAAAACAGTGTGGAGGTTCCTCAAAAAATTAACCATAGAAATCCCCTATGACCCAGCAATAGCACTGCTAGGAATTTACCCAAGGGATACAGGAGTGCTGATGCATAGGCCACATGTACTTCAATGTTCATAGCAGCACTCTCAACAATAGCCCAAAACATGGAAAGAGCCTAAGTGTCCATCAATGGATGAATGGATCAAGAAGATGTGGTTTATCTATACCATGGAATACTCCATGGCAATGAGAGAGAATGAAATCTGGCCATGTGTAGCAACATGGATGGATCTTGAGGGTGTTATGCTGAGCGAAATAAGTCAGGCAGAGAACAGATACCATATGTTTGCACGTATAGGAGGATCATGGGGAACTTCATGTAGGACCGTGGGGGAGAAGAAGGTGAAAAATAGTGCGGGAGTGGAAGGGAGGCAAACCATGAACGACTCTTGAATGCTGAGAACTGAGGACTGATGGGTGTGGGGGGATGGGGGGTGATGGGCATGGAGGAGGACACTTGTGGATGAGCACTGGGTGTTATACGGAAACCAACTTGACAATAAACTACTTAAAAAAATAAAAGCTCATTTTAACAAATATTTTGGTACACATCCAAAATTCTGGTCGAGAGTCCACTCATCTCGAGTGCTATGAATGGCACAAAGAATCTGGACAATTCAGTAAGAGTTTGCTGTAATGGGATTGGGCTAATAATAAACCCAGGTCACGGTGGCCTCCAGCAGTGAGGCTGGAAAAGTCAGGACATTTGTAGGGAGAATGGTGTCTGGGAACTCCACTGTCAGCCCAGAGCTCAGTCCCCAGCTCCTTACTTTCTAGCTCCTCTGGGCTGATGGTGGCTCCAGACTAACTTGGCCTTGACTAGAAAGCACCTCAACATTGGGCTGTGGTCAGAACTGACTCCCAGACTTCTCTGATAATCTCCAAGCATTCCAGAGTCAAAGCTACCAACTCCCACCCCACCAGCACCCAAAAGAGCCCTCTTCTCTTAGCTCTCTCCACATATTGGGCCCACTGCATTCTCACTGGGTCCCCAGTCCATTGACCTGTCTGTTTTCTGAACTCTAAGCGGGAGGGAAAGAAGAAGGATATGCTATGTGCTTATGCCAGAGCTCTCACTGGGAGCAAAGTACTGATCTGCCACCTCAACCTAAAAGCTGGGCTTCTACCACACATGGGGTGGATAATTGGCTGCCAAACTAGGCCTCCCAATACCACCCACCTGTAATCCTGTCCCTCCATTCTTCTTTAGAAAACAGTATTGATTACTTCTATCTAATATGCATTTGCTGTAGCATGTTTGCAACATACATAAAGATATCAAGAAAAACACGTAAATGATATACACATCAGTCATTCATTTAATTAACTATTACACATCCTCTTCTTTGGAACATTAAAGTTGTTTCTTTTTTCTTCCTACCAGAAATAAAAGTGCCCTGAACAGCCTTGTGCATAAATTCTTTATGCACATTGGTGCCTGAGAATAAAATCCTGAAAGAACTGCTGGGTCAAAGGATGTGGACGCTTTTATTCCTGACACGTTATTACCAAAGTGCCTTACAGAAAGGCTGAACCGATTCGTATTCCCAGCATGCTAATCTCCTCATTTATGGCTCATTCTGGTAATGCTCTTCCCCCCAAAACTTGGCCAATTTAATGTGAAAGTGTCCGATCTTTGGTGTTCAGATCACTAGTGAGGTTGATCCTTTTTTTCACGTGCCTCCTGATATTGGAGTTTTTACTGTGTTACTGGTACCTTTTCCAAAATCAGAATATTACTCTTTTGAACTGCTTTGACTGCTTTCTTTATATCTGAGTATATTAACCATTTATATGTCACAGTGGGGAGAGTCGCGAGGCTTTTCAGATTTTAATCTAGCTTTGCTCCTGGCATTAGGGGGTGACCCTAATAATAATAACCCCAGTGCCCTTGACCGACACTGTATCCCGAAAGAGCCACAGTGGATTTAACGTTTATCTCTGTAGTTCGTGCTTTGCTGACAATGGGGACAAGCCAAGTCCACTCAAGAACCTGTCCACCTTTGGGTGGCAGATCAGCAGATCTATTCGCCCTCCTCTTCTCTCTCGTCTCCTGTTGCGAATACAGTCATGGGTCTGCCAATGTCAAAACAAAACCAAAAAAGTCTTTTCCGCAGGTCAATGGACTATCTCAGGTACTTTGTGGTCCCTTGGACATCACGGGAAAGAAATCGCAATGCCAGGGTGCGGATGTAGCTCAGTCCACTGAGGCCACTGCTCTCAGAATGTCAGACGGCCCAGGGAGGCTCCGGCCACTTCCCCTGCCTTGTGGGGAGAAACGAGTTCAGGAATGAAAAGTGCTTAGTGCAGGGCCTCTCTTCTTTAATGGACAGTATAAACCTCTCAGTAATTAGCAAGCCCACAGAAAATGGCCCTTTGTTCTCAAGTTCACTCCCTTGCCCTATTCCTTCTCTCTCCCCCATCGATGCAAGCAGGTAACGAGCTCAGCTCTACAGCTGAATCACAATTAGACCCCCCCCTCCCCACCGAAGTCATTGCGAAGGAGGGAGGAACTCACCCTGCTTTCGTTGAAATGCTTTTCCTTCAGAGCTAGACTTTTCCAAAACAGGAGAACATGGTCATTTTCTGTTATGATTTTTAAGGCATCAGGTGCAGACAATGAAACTGAAAATTAAAGATACAACAGGATGTGGTTAGTGGCTATATATTGGAACCGCTGTTCTTTCTGGTCTGTTGGAAGGAGGTGAAATAAATGCTAACTTGAAAGGCGAGGTTAAGGAACAAGAAACACACGCATAGAGCGTAGCACAGGGCAGACACTCTCTAAGTGGCACCTCTTTTTTTGCTATTATAATACGGTGAGTCAAGAATTTGGACAGCACCTACTGAGTGGCCCTCAGAGCCACAAATGGCTGAAAACAAATGGGGTGGGGGAGAAACGGAAGGGGTGGGACAGACCATGGTCTCAAAGCCTTTCCTGGACTTCCGCTCTGGTTTCAGTCTGTGAAGGAGCGTGAAAGAGACTTAGGATGTGGAGAATGACAGGCGCCCCTCCAGCCCACCCCCCTGTAGCCCCGGCACTGGAACGCTGCCCTGCCCGCCAGGTGTGGACACGGAAGGGAGCGTCTGGCCACGCAGTTCCATGCCTACAGGCTTCCTGGCAGCCCTGTGGCTACTTCGCTGTGCGAGAAGCCTCCTGATCTCTCTCCTGTTTACCTGTGGTGATTTTTATGCTGGAATCTTTGCTCATGTTTCCCAGCTGGACAATGACGTGGTATTTTCCTCCAGGTTCCAATTTGTTAAGGGTGTATTCCACAGTACTGTTGCGGGATGTTATTTTGTAGCTTCTGTCGCTCTTCCTTATTAGATCTTTAACTGCAATTGCATATAACTAGAACAAGAAGAACAGACCTTAATGGTAATCAGAAACTTGGCATTTTTGACTCTTTGCAATTCATCGGTGGATGACATCACTTAAGTGCATCAGTGGCTGCGACCCATAGCAACAATGTTTTGAGCCCCACAGTCTGACTCGGATCTTTGGAAAGCCTTTGGGGGGAGGGGCAGGTCCAAATCTGATTCGTTCCCAGAACTGTGCACAGAATTATCAACTCGACCCAAAACACAAGCCTAGGGAACGTTACATTTATTGTGGCATCAGCCAAGAGGTTGGAAAAGGCAAGAAAAATCCAAATTCAGTGTTCAGTGTCTCTCCCCAGCTGTGATAGTTTTGGGATGTTGTCACAGGAGATAACGAAAGGACAGAAAGCTCTGCTTATTCTCGCCCCCAGCCTGCTTCTCACACATATGAATGCAAGAAGAAAACACGGGGACACGTGTTAGGTGCAGGAGACCCTATTGCCAGGAAGAGGCTGCAAGTCAAGGAGAACCTTAGCAACCAAGGATCTAAAACCACCCACCCCAGGGTACTCGGTCAGTTAAGCGTTGGACTTGGACTCAGATCATGATTTCATGGTTCGTGAGTTCAAGCCCTGGGTCGGGCTCTGTGCTGACAGCTCAGAGCCTGGGGCCTGCTTTGGATTCTGTGTCTCCACCCTCTCTGCCCCTCCCCCACTTGTGCTCTCTTTCTCTCTCACTCAAAAATAAAGATTAAAAAAATTTTTTTAAATAAAAGTTTTTTTAAAAATTAAAAAAATAAATAAATAAAACCACCCAACCCTGGGACGAGGAAGAAGGCAGCTTGGAGCAAAGGAAAATGAAAGCTCTTTTCCAGAATTAATGCCTCTTCTTTTAGACCAGGGGCCAGCAAACTTTTTGGTAAAGGCTCAGATACAAAATACCTTTAGGCTTTGAACGCCAAACGGGGCTCTACCACAAGCATTCAATTCTGCCACATGTAACATGGCAGCAGCCATAGATGAGATGTACACGAATGGCAACAGTTCAGCTCTAATAAACTGCATTTACAAAAGCAAGCGATGACCTAGACTCGGCCTGCAGGCATTTGTTTGCCATCCCTGCTTCAGAGGGTCAAGGAAGGGAAGGGGAGAAGGCAGAGAAGAAAGAGAGACAAACCAATATGGCAGCTGGAAATTGTGAAGAAGCAATAGTTAAGAAGAGGCACCTACGAGGACCCCAGCTGTGGCGAGAGAAACGGGGGGGGGGAGGGGTGAGACCCCCTGCTCAGCTCCCGCGACTGGGCCTATTTCCTGCCCCACTACAGGACCCCCTCTGTGCTCCCACTCCATGCCAAGAGCACACACAGCTGGCCGGATGCCCGGCCTGCTCACCAAGTCCTGGTCCGGAGAATCATACGGGGACTCCCACTTGATGACAGCTGAGGTTTTGCCGGTGTGAACCGCATGCAGGTGACGAGGTGGGAGCCTATTGTCAGGGATCATCCTTACCACGACATAGTCAGAGGACGGTCCTAGGTAGGGCACCACCACCCGCACCTGAAACAATACCACGTGGACGCAGGGCGTCTGTGCTAGGCCATCTTTCCCAACAGTGATACATGTATGCAATGAAGATTCAATCATTGCAAAAGAAGACACAAAACGTAAAATAACTCCCACCTACCCCAGATCTCTAATCCATTTCCCCAGAAGTATCACTGGTAACGGTTTTCTGTGCTTACTTCCAGAAGTGTCCTGTGCATACGTAAGCACAGATCTACATTGGGTGCCTACAGATATACACTTCTATGTGCATGTACATAGCCTGTTTTTCTCAAATTTTTTACACACATGAGAAAATATTACACATATTATTAGGCTCTTCACTTCCTTCCCTTAATTATATAGCATAGAGATGTTTCCACCTCAGTACAGAGCTCTGTTTCTTTTGAAGGGATGCCTTGTATTTCATTGCAAGGATCAGCCACAATATTCTTACCCAGTCCCGCCAGCCAGTTGTTTCAAATCTCCTGCTATCACAAGCAATAGTGTACCAAACATCTTTTTCCATAGATCTTGGCACACATGTAGAAAAGTATTTGTGGGCTATGTTTCGAGACATGGAATCTGACAAAAGTGGTGTGCATCTATTCCCACGACCCATTTGCTATGTTCGCCAATCCTGCGCCAGGGAGCTGCAGTTGGTTAAGGGGTCATTCGTTCTGGTTTTCAAGCAGTAACTTGATGCTTCTACAGTACCCTGTCCTCACACACTTGGATCCTGGAGTCACGCGACCAGCTCCCCAGGTCCAGTTCTGAGCTAGGCACACAGGCTTTAAGCCATCCTTGGAAAAAAAACAAGAACATTATCTGTACTCCCTAGTATGGGAAAACTTACCAGAAACAGATACTGCTCGTCCCTACTGACAATGACTGTTTTGTTATGGAGTGAAGTAGTCAAGCTCTTCGGATTGCGATAGAGGTCAAGGAAGGATGTAGCATAGAAAATGCCGTAAATCTGGTAAACAGGACGGAAAAGGACATGAGCTGGGTGGCCAGGGACTTCATTCTCCTGAAATCCCTCATCTATGCCCCTGGGAACTGCTTCACGGAAGCTCAGAAGAGAGAGGTCTTCATTCAGGATGTATTTCATCAGCATGTACAGAGAAGGTGCTCTGGGGCACACATGGAGCTCACAGCCACCAAGATGAACACAGCGTATGCTCTCTGTCCTCCTCGCTTTTGGAGGAAGGAGGAGCAGAGAAGAAAAACAAACACAATTATAAATGACAAGTTCATGTACACAACGGGATGCTACAGGGAAAGACTGTACGGAAGTGGGGAGCTGAGCAGAAGTGAGGATGGGGAGGAAGCGACGGTGTTTGTGGAGGGGAGGTGAGGAGAGGAGGCAGCAGGGTGGACAAGGCGGGGTGCCCAGAACCCACCCACTCTTCCTCCCCTCCTTAGGAGGATCCTGGTTCTTGGTGAGAATTGCCACCTGGGAGAAAATCTACACTTCCCACCTCCCCGGGAGCTGGGATGCCACGTGGCAAAGTTTTGGCCAGTGAGCTTTAAGCAGACCTGAGTGACAGCTCATTAATATAGAGGGAGGAGTCCTTCCTTCAGCCCTCCTCCTGCCTGGAACACAGATGATGGTGTGGCTCCAGACCTTCCAGACCTTGAGGCGACCTTAACGATGGATGCCACAGGCACCCTGGGTCCCGGGTCAAACCCTGCTGCTGCTGTTTAAACCCAGGCCAGTCGAAGGACTCCACCTTCACTTTCGGCTCTGTGCTATGTGGCCATTCTGAACCTCTGCTGATATGGGTGGAAAACTGAGAGTTTAAAGCAGGGACAGGGGATTTGATGGGCTTGGGGCAGGGGAGGGCCGCTGGGGGTTTATAGTGGGGAAGGTGCAGTAAAGTGCTGAGGGAGCTTTCTCTCTCCAGTGGCATAAAAGCCCCCATGGGCAGGTAGGACGGGGACTTGAAGAGGGCTGTACAAGTCTAAAGAGGTGGTGGGACCTCAGGCATGGCTCAGGGCCTTCCGAAGCCCCTACAGCTGTGCATTTTCTCAAAGCTGCTCAGCAGTCATGGCCAGAGAGGGGAAAGCGTACGGGGAAGGGGACAGGAAGCCCCAAAGGGTGATAAGCTGACAGGAGGTGAGGAAAGAAAGAATTAGGGGGCTCAAGGGTGTCAGAGGCAAAGCAAATGGAGTAGAAATAGGGAAATGAGGGTGCTCAAAGCACAAGGTGGGGGTGGGGGCCTTTGGGCTCAGGGGAGAGGTCCAGGGGCTGCTGGGAGTGGGGATGGGGAGGGATGGCTCTGGCCAGGGGCCAAGAGAGGGCTCCAGGAGCCAAAGAGGTCAGGGCGCAAGAGGCCCCCAGAGATGGACAGCAGCTGTGGCAGTTCCCATGGTGGAGAGGACAACCGTGAGTGACGAATTCCAGTCCTCAGTGGACTGAAGTCGGGAAGAAGCGGAGAGCTTCCTACAGGTGATTTCATGGGCCCCCTGCCCTCTGCAAGCTACGACGAGCAAGGACCAGCAGAACAGGCTACTTCTCCGAGTCCATGTTAAAGACCTTGGGGTCAAGGAACATTCCAGGGTGCTGTGCACTAGGCCCTACTCTGCAAACACGCTTGGGTGTGACAAGGTGGCCATGCCCTTGGCTGGGCATAAAAGCTGGAAAGGCCCTTTGTGAGGAGAGTCTATTTCGAGGGAAAGGGGGGTCCTGGGCCTGGCTCTGGGCATCTCATCTCTGTCCCTACCTCAGAATCAGGCTCTGGAGCAACAAAGGGGCAGAAGCTGTCACACGAGCCAGCCCGGAGCTCAACCTGGTTTACGGTTTCCTCCAGCTTCAATTCTGGAGAGCCACTTGACCCCTCTGGGCCTTAGTGTCCTCACTGGTAAACTGAGAACACTGACCCCACGGGGCTGATGAAAAGATTATGTGGGAGAAGGAGGATAATGGGTTCTTGGGATGCCTTACTTCTCCTTCTTTCTTCAAAGCCAACCTTATAATCACAATTACGTGCAAGCCTTGGTTCATTCCCCATCGCTCAGTCCTGCTCCAAATGCACACTGGAGATGCCGTCAGAAGACAAGACACAGGCCTCCATCCTTACCAGTCACTGTGAGGACTTGCTAAGTCTCGCTTACACATTTAGTTCTATGGGCTTCTCCATTTGGAAAACTCAGAAACCCTTCTCCTCAAGGAGCTTACAAACTAGGGAGATAAATAATGCATGGAAAACATCAACGAGGATAAAGTGCTATCTAATCAAACAGTAGTCTGAATGGCACCAACTATAAATTTCACGGAGGTTCATAAGGGAAAGAGATCACGTAGAAGCCAGTAGGACTGGATTGTAGGCCAGAAGGACAGAAGGACTCCAGGAGGAGAAAGAGCACAGGCCAAGGTGCAGAGGCAGGAGGGGGTGAAAATGTGCCAAGAACCTTGGGAAAACCCATCTAAAAGCAAAGGAAGTTACACACTGGGGAGGTACGGGAATTAAAAACCAGCTTCAAAAAGGAAGCACAAATCTGATCATAGTGAGTCAAAATGCATACATAATAACCAAAAAAAAAAAAAAGACCTATACAACGTGCAATAGAGACACTGGGATGAAGAGGGGAGGACAGGCACATGTGGCAGAAGCAGCCCAAGAAGGCAACCTATGGGTGGGGGGTCACATAGGTGGGGAAGAGTTGGAGGGGTCTGTTAGTGCTGCTAATGTCACCATGCCCACGAGCCAAGGTGAGTCAGCCATTACAGGAACATGGCCCTTTCTTCAAGCTCACAGTCTCTTCCACAGCAAAGAGCATGCACATTTTCTCTCAGCTTCTAGGCCAAGGTGTGGAAAGGGATGCTGGGGCTGGGATGGAGGGTGCCTCTAGAAGGTAATTCAGCACTGACCAAGAGGGCAGTTGGTATTTGGGTGAGAAAGGAGGAAGCAGTAACAGAGGAGAAAGCCCTCGCTCGGGTTGCCCAAGCCTAGCATCAGGGGAGAGCCCATACTGACCCTGCAATGGTCAGTCTGGCTGACTTACCACATTCCTGGGGCCAGTCCAGGTGCATTCCACTGCAGTCTGATTGATGGCCTTGGCTTTGAGGCTAGGAGCAGGTGGGCGGACTCCTTTGGTCATGACATGCTCGAATGCCAGAGGACTGTCTCCTAAATCAGTCTTGGCCCAGGCAGAAATCTCATAAGACGTATGAGCAGTCAAATTGGTAACTAAAATCAGGGACAAGATGTCAGGAGGGAGCTGGAGGCGTCAGTCAAGAATTTGTGTCTTGACAAACCAAGAAATAGACTCTTAACTATAGAGAACACACCGGCATTACCAGAGGGGAGGTAGGGGGGCTGGGTGAACTAGATGATGGGGATTAAAGAGCACAATCATCATGATGAGCACTGAGTGATGTATAGAACTGATGAATCACTATGTTGTACACCTGAAACTAATATAACGCTGGATATTAATACTGGAATTAAAATCAAAACTTTAATTAAAAAAAAGAATTTGTACCTTGCTATATAACACCTTATTTTTTAAATTTTTAAAAAAATTTTTTTTTAAATCTCTACCCAGTGTGGGGCTTGAACTCATGACTCTGAGATGAAGAGTCTCAGGCTGTTCTGACTGAGCCACCCAGGTGCCCTGATACCTGGGTACCTGATATCCTATTTCTTTAAAGGTAATCTCTCAATTTAAGTGAGACCCCCATGCTGTAGGATTTTCATTGTTTTACAAATTCATCCCAGCATTATTTACTGATGACTCCTACAAATTACACATTTGCATGGGCACTGGGTAGTCTCTTTAAAGCTGACCATCTGAAGGGCACCCGGGTGGCTCAGTCGGTTAAGCGTCTGACTTCAGCTTGGGTCATGATCTCACAGTTCATGGGTTTGAGTCCCTGTGTCAGGCTCTGTGTGGACCTCTCAGAGCCTGGAGCCTGCTTCAGATTCTGTGTCTCCCTCTTTCTCTCTCTGCCTCTCCCCTGCTCATGCTCTGTCTCTCAAGAAAACAAAATAAAATGTTTAAAAAGAAAAAGAAGCTGACCATCTGGGGATATAAACTGGTACAACATTCCTAGAGAGTTGTGTAACAGTCTGGAGATCCTTCATGCCCTTCAATGCAGACATCCCGTGGAGTCAGAGCAAATCAAACATCTGTGGACTATGAATGTCCATCAGTAGAAGAAACTGTGCATAAATTGGTTGTCCAGAGGCAGGGCAATGGTTAGACACTGTGCATCCCATGAACTATCGGGCAGCCACTAAAAGCTGTCTCCAGGGCACCCGGGTGGCTCAGTAGTTTAAGCATCCGACTTCATCTCAGGTCATGATCTTGCGGTTGGTGGGTTCAGGCCCCGCATCGGGCTCTGTGCTGACAGCATAGAGCCTACAGCCTGCTTCAGATTCTGTGTCTCCCTCTCTCTCTGCCCCTCACCCACTCGTGCTCTCTCTCTCAAAAATAAACATTTTAAAAATTAAAAAAAAAAAAGCTGTGTCCAAGAATATTTTATGAGACTAGAAAATTCTTACAGCTTTATATTAAGTGAAAAGGACAGGATATAAAACTACAGTTTTGCACCTAGGACACGGGTTTGAACCTGTGTGGGCCCACCTGTACATGAGGTTTTTATAATCTGATACTGTAAGCGTATGTTGACTCTTCCTTATGATTTTCTTAAGAATGCTTTTTTTCTAGATTACTCTATTGTAAGAACACAGTATATAATACATGCCACATAGAAAATATGTATTAATCAACTGTTCGTGTTATCAGCAAGAGTAGTTAAGTTTTAGGGAAGTCCAAAGTGATATGCAGATTTTCAACTGGGTCAGTGCCCTCTAACCCCTGGCTGTTCAAGGTCAACTGTATTCAAAGGAAGTCCATTTCCATGTTTGTAAGACAGAAAAGAACAACTGCACTTAGAGTGGCTGCTATTGCAAGGATTCAAAAAGAAAATGCTTTAAAAAAAAAAAAAAGCCTTTGGCATGGTGCCTTGCATCTAGCTAGCCCCAATATATTTCAGGCAAGGGATAAGATGACTGTTTCTGATCCTGCCAATTTCTACTGGTGTGACACTGAGACAATCAGATCACAGCCCCAGAGATTAAAAAGAGGCAGGTTCTGCAGCAGCCGCCTTCTAAGGGAATTACTTTATCTCTGAACCTTGGGTTCTCAGCCACGAAATGAGCACATCCCACAGAATCATTACTGGGGTTATATAAAGTGCCTAGGTTACAAACGATGCCTAGGTAAATGCCTACACACAGTAGGTACACAGATAGAAGAGGGACTGGGGTGCCTCTTTCCTCCCTTAGCCCAGTTTCCTTGTCCATTCATTCAACAAACGTGCCTTGAATACCAACTATGCACCACGCCCTGTAGACCTTGCATTAGCAAAGCAGGAGTGAACCAATGCCAGAAAAGAGGGTCAACTCACTGTCAGAACTTTCTTTTGAAGCTAAAGAATCATCAGTAGAGGGTTAATCTAGCTTCTTTACAGTTTTTCCTCTTTGAAGCTTCCAACTTCCATAAGAGCCAACAACAAGCTAGAGAAGGGGGCTCAGAAGCCACCAAGTAGACTCCCCCCCTCCCCGGAGGCAGGGGTCATTTACAGTCTCTTCCCTTGGCCCTCCCACAATGGCAGTCAGGGAAGAGCCCCCCCGTCCAGGCGGCCCCAACACGAACTCTGCCGCCATGAAGTATCGATCTCCTTCCTCCTCCCTGCTTGCATGCCAACTAGCTCCAAGGTGTTACCTTTGTGTGATAAGATGCTCCCCCGGAAGTTCAAAGTGATCTTCTCTTGTTTGTGGGTGTCAAATGCCCAGAAGAGGTTCACCACATAGCCATTCACCTGCCAAGAACCAGGAAACAGGTTACGGGAACAGTACATGGTCCGGGAACACAGCAAGTGTCGAACTTCGACTCAGATCATGATCTCTTGGTTTGTGAGTTTGGGCCCCATGTCGGGCTCTGTGCTGACAGCTTAGAGCCTGCAGCTTGCTTCATATTCTGTGTGTGTCTCTCTCTCTCTGCCCCCCTCCCACTCGTGCTCTCTCTCAAAAATGAATGTTAAAAAAAATTTTTTAAAAACAAACATGAGACTATGTAGAATATAAAATATGGTCTTGATGAAATCAAGAACATTGATGCAGAATAAAAGGACAAGACTCAATTCATAAAGGCAGAAAGAGGAAAAACTAAAGATAATTACGTCACGGTAATTAAGGGTAACTCTTAGCTCAGGCAACCCTTGTGGTCAAGGCCAAGAGGTTGATACAAAAGGGGGTCCCTTTGAGCTCTTATTGTCTAACAGGAGCAAATCTACCCATGGGTTAGGAAAACCTACCTTTTCGAAGTTCTGAGCTCATAAAGAGATTTGATCTAAAGATCTTTAAATACGGGACAATAGCAAAAAATAAAAATGCTTTCATGACCAAAAATCTGTACATAGATGGGGTTTACGTCAAGGCCATTTCTTACATCAATGGTCTCTGAAGCCAAGGGCAGATGCTTCCAAACTGTAGCCCAGTAAATGGCACAAGGGGCTCTGAAGGCTGTCTGCCCCACCACGGCTTCACAGACTAGGTAGGGAAATGAGGCAAAGCAAACAAAAAAGAACACTATGGAAGGTAGATCTCAACTTGGAAAACCACGGGCACGCAGAGGAGCTCGGTGGGGCCGGCTTCGCAGGCATGCCTCGCAGAATGGACAGAGGGTGCGGGAAGGGGAGGGTGCGCAGTGGTGGCTTCGAGGGGGCATGTTTCTAAGGTATCCGACTCTGTCTTCCCCTGTGGGAACCTCTGCGTTAGTGCTTCGCACCAGGAAATCCAATAAAGCTGAAAATTACAGGGCATACATATTCTGTTAACACCAACTCTTTATTTGCACTGTAGCTGTGAACCATTTAGTTATATGGTTTAAAAAAAAGGGGAGGAGGCAGAAAGGCACCGGGCTGGGGCAGAACAATTACGTGTGAAGATTGACATTGTTCTTCATGGGGGAAGGAACCAATCTAGTGGTGGTATTTTGGTTGTACTGGATCAAATCATTTGTTTTCCTTCATCTCATCTCTTTGCTCTCTGCCTCACCAGCTCCATACAAAGTAGAGCCCCGCCCACCGCTCTTTTGAAATTCCAAGTTACCTTGATGTCACCATCCATGGTTAGGGTGAAGCTGAGAGAATTCTCACTGTAGCTGTCAATGCTGATCTCCGGTGGTGGGATCACTGAAAACAGAGAGGAATTCAAAAAGAGAAAGCACATGACGAAAAGTGAGGAAGGCACAGGATTCCACAGTTTTCAGCTCGACAGAGCAATCTTTGTAGTTGGGGAAGAAAGGGCATTTCTTGGGCTGCTTCCACTCTCTCTTTTACTGCTATTGTCCTGAAGCTGAGGTTGGGTCCACAGTTGCCTGGCAAACACATAACTCTCTTGGCTAAGGTGGCCCTCCTGGCAGTTAGGTCCAGCAGAGAAGTTCCAGTGTGTAAATGTCCCCAAACAGCCTAGCCGCAGCCTGGTTCTGAAACGTGCTGGGATCACAGAAAGCACCACCTCTACTGGCACTAAGGGAGTCCTAGTGGCCTCAAGTCCTCTTCAAAAGTTGAGGGCAGGCCAGATTGTAAGGCATAAATCGTGAATGCATGTGCAGCAAAACGGAAACCATGTGGCCTCTGGAGTCTGGAAAACCTGAGTTCAAATTCCCATTTTGGACACTTAACAACTGTAACCGGAAGCAACTTACTTCTCTTCATACTAATGTTAACTCAACCAATGTGCCTTTTCTTTCCATTTCCAATAAAGTCCCACCTAGGACAGATGAAGGCACTGGCAAGTCACTGGCATTTTCAAAAAGAACAGAGCCCAAGCTCAGCACCAGGGGCGGGAAGGTGAGGGTGTGAAAAGACAGTGGCAGAGAAAAAAGACCTCTCTCAGTGCAAGTGATGAACTTGCACTTATCATTCAGAAGGTCTGTCCACAAGATGGCAGACCGTGCTCTGCCAGCCATAATCCAAAGGGCTTAATGGGATCACTGTGACCAGAAGACAGTATTTTAATGACAAACTCATATACTTGACTTTTTAGGATGTGTGCCTCTTATACATGCAAGGCAAGAGACACTTGAAAGACAGGATAAGATACGGTAGTAAAAGATAAAAGAGATGTACCACATTCTGGAGGAGTCCCTCTAGAAGACCAATCATATAATGAGAGTGGGCATGCGGAAGAAAAAAGGATGTTAAGGGCAAGAAGAAGAAAGGATATTAGGGGTTTCAGGCCACTGACTCGGAGCAAAATAGCGTAGGTGCTGCTGTAAAGTCAACCTGAATTATAATTGCGGTGACTGATAGGTCACAATCCTTTCCTAAGCCCAGTTGCCTTAGCTACCAAATGAGCATAGGAATACTTAAAGGATTGGTAAGTTTTAAGGGAGATGAATTCATGTAAAACAAACATGGTGGTTAGTATCTAAGAAGTGTACAACGTATTCAATCTCATGCACTCAATGAAACACACTTGTTATTAATCTACCACACCCAGGGATGAAGGTGGTGCTTCTGGCTGACTCCACTGCCGTGTCTGTCCTGTGGGTTATGTCACAACGACACAGGATCACAGACAGAACACAACACGTGCTTTCTGACTCGGTGCACAGTGGACTCTTGCATGTGCCTGAACCAAGCAAAACCTGTATTAACTAAGGCTCACCATCAAAATCATACAGAAGAAGTTTAAGACACGTTCTGAGGCAGGTGTGATTTGCATTTAGGGAATTCGAGGTACATGTTTTATGGCTGACTTTCCAGGGTCCCTTCTTTTCAATAGGTACAGCCAGCATGCTCTGATCGGTTTTGCAGAGGGAAATGACAACACAATAAAAACCCCAGGGGCTGTGAACTCACTCCACTTTTTCTAATTACCCACAAGCACCCTGTTACAAAGCAGCTGGCTTCACTTAAGTGTGGCTTCCTCTTGTCCTGATCTCAACGAGCCCGAATTTTAAAGGTAACCAGATAGTGACTCTCCAAAACCCACAGCCTATTTCTCACAGGCTTGAGTTAAAGTAAACCCCCCCAATCGCATTCCGTGTGATACTTCTGTCCAGAAACGAAAGCTGCGAGTGCCGAGGCTAAGATCAGGAACCCACTGAGAAGCACAAGTGGCGGTCCACCTCCCCAGGTAAGCCAGGAGCCTCTGTTTAATTGCTTTAATTCATTCCTTCATCGACTCTTTCATGGGCTCGCCCTCAACACCAGGGACATGAGAGGGTGGAGGAAACCGGGCCGGGGTGCTGTGCTCGTGGGAACACGTTCGAGCCGGGACAGTGTGGCGGGGGCACGCATCTTGGCCCGGGGGGTGGGGCAGGGCAGCCCAGTGGAGAAAGACACAGCCTTTGGAGTTGGATCCCAGCCCTCTGCCCCTTATGGACCACGTGGGAAGTGACTTCACTTTCTGGTTCTTGATCTGTTCCTATGGGGGCTGTGAGGGTGCTGAGGGTTCTGTGACATGGGCTGATGGGCAAAGCAGCGAGCGCTCGGAGGGGCCGGCCTTCGGCGGGCAGTCAGCTATCTCTAGGCTCCGCTCTGGTGCTAGGAACCACCACCTCCATGCCGTTTGCAGCACCGCTGCGGAAGTCGCAAGGGTCAGCCGGGTGCCCTTACAGACACCATCAACGGACACGGACAAAATCACCTATACCTTTCGCAAGAAGGAAGGAGTCCTTCGATTTTGGATACAGTGCATGAGGATAAGAGCTGGGCATGAGGGATTCAGAAATCCCTTTGTATGTTTGCATCCTTACAAACCCTCAGGAGGAGGAGGAGGAAGACATTCTGCATCACCCGAAGAAACTTTGTATCTAAGGCAGTATGGAAACACCTGGATGTGGGTGCACGTGGGGGAGAAGGAGCATGTGTGAAGATTTCTCATCTCAGTGTCTCCATTGCCCAGTCATACAGAAAGTTATTTCCAAAGGGTTTCTCTCTTCTCTAAATCTGCGAACACTGGACCCATTTACCTTTTCCTTTGACGGTGGTAATGGATTTAGAATCACTCCAGTTTCCGACTCCACGGCTAGTCACCGCAGCCACCTTTTCAAATCAGAATGTGAATTAATAGAAAATAAAGGCAATGTGCCATACAGCAAGGGTCCCGAGTGAGCTACAGGGCTGAGACTGTGGCCTTGAGGGTGGCAAATGGGGCACTCAGAGGCCCCATCAACTGAAACAAGGGTTAATGAGAGGAACCTGGGCACAGGGGGCTGTGAATGTGAGGACATGATGGCATTTGTGTGGACTGATGGATGTCAAGGTTCTTCTAGAAGGCAGGGGGTGCGTGTGCACATGGAGGCGTGGGCCCATACAGACACACATAAGGAAAACAATAATGGGAAAATGATCAGGGTCATGCAGTCTGTGTGTGCACTTAAGGGTCCCAAAAAACATGTTCTGCACAGAATCTCTCTCTTTTCTGCTAAAGGTATTAGTAATATATTGCTTAAGATCCCTGCAGTATTGGCTTATAAATGCCAAGACCGTAGCTCTGCACTGTGTACCTGAGAATCAGCAGAAAGGTGGTAAGTGCAGAAGTGTGGGAGCTGGAACCCTAGCAGAAAATCTGGGTGAGAAGCAGATAAAGCTGCATTTACCATAAACTCTCGGTTATCTGAGGGAAGTTCTGATTTCAAGTTCTCTGTGGCACCGGTTTAAGAGGCTGAAAAAAATGACAGCCTCGCAGCGTAAGGGGCTGGGTATTTAGCAGACTACTAAGCAGTCCATAAGGGTGAGCGCTCAGCTCTCACACTCTAAGGCTGCCCGGATGGACACAATGGGTGCTAACACTCACTCTGACGGTATATGGAGCGTTGACCATTAAATTCTTTATTTCGGTGAAGTTACTGGTAGCCCTCTGGGACGCCCACATCTTGGAAGCACTCCTGCTGTATTCCACCTGAAGCGAGAAGAAAAAATCATTAGTAAGGAACCCGATGGTCAGGGACATCCTGATACCTGACAAGGAGGCAGAAGGAGAGAGGGGGGTGGGGGGTAAAATGCTCTAACAGGCAGACCGCTATTTACCAGGCTACCCCAAACCAAGCGCTAATCACACAGAACAATCTGCGTCACACGGTCGCCGTGCAGATGCTTACAATGTACTCTCGAATGAGGCCATGTGTGTGGATGGGAGGAACCCAGTGGGCCACAATCACGCCTTCTTCCTCTCTGTGGAGTGACAGCTGCAGGTTTCGAGGGGCGTCTGGCACTAGAAGAGAGTCAACGCAGGGTTAGAGCCCATCTGCATGTTGGTAAATGGGAGGAACTTCCCTGAGATGGAAAACAAAGACTAGAAAGAATCTAGAGCCAGTGTTGGGAAGAAGCCACTGGTAAAGGTAGCTTGGCCTTCACATAGAGAAACCTTTCTGCTCTTCCGGAGTGTGAGGTGTCCTGTGCTTCATCGCGTGTGATGTAGGTGTGCGACTCACCGGGGCTGCAGGATAGAGTCACCTGCAGGCGCTAGGTGTTTAGTGCTGAGATCCTAATTGCCAAGCAGAACACCTGCTGCCTTGACTCTTCTCTCACACAACCCTAGCACCACGGGCCTGACCACAGAGGAGTAGGGCTTTCTAACAGCACAGAATTTCTGTACCCAAATGAACGGGATCACCTTCAAAGCAGGCTCCTGCATTACTTCAGCACAGGCATGGCCAAAACATTTCTGGGTCTTCCCTTTTACCTTCAAGAGCCAAGTGAGAAGCCATTCATGAAAACCAGCTATAATATTTTCTGGGCAAACTTATCCATGTGGATAAGCCACAAACAATAAATATTATGGGCTGAACTGGTGCCCACCCACTCTTCCTGTGCGTGCGAGCACGCGCGCACGCACACACGTAGAAGATACTATCTACAAACCAAGGAGAGAGAGGCCTCAGAAGAAAAATCCCTGCAAGCACCTTGATCTTGGACTCCCAGCCTCCAGAATCGTGGGAAGACAGATTTCGGTCATGTAAGCTACCCAGTCCACATCAGTTTGTTACAGCAGCCCCAGAAAGCCAAAACAATGATATTCATCAACTACAGGTGGTCGGCAAGCCTTCCAAGTTCTCATTCCCCTGAAGCTCCCATATCTAACATAACACCTGAGCAATACTAGGTGCTCAGCTAATTATCTGTGGGAAGAAAATGAATGAGTGGGGTATTTCAAAGATAGCTCCATGGTGTCAAAAATTTAGCTAAGGTCTTCCTTCGCAGTACCATCCCGCTACCTCAGCTTCCATTTTGTTGGGCCAAGCAGTCTGCAGGCATCTTAAACCGAAGCTAGCCCCTCATGCAAGCGCATGCCCCAGAAAGTAGCCTACAGAGACACATTCAAATCTGAGTTCCTGATATGACTTCCCAGCAGCCTGTGTGATCAACGGTCTCCCTCGCCTCCCTGGACCTTCCCCTTGGGCGGTCCACAAAGCTTTACCCCCCTTTTTGGCTTGAATTGACCAATGCGGCCTTAGCATAGGAACCCCAATGTACTGCACCCATGAACCCTAAAAATGGTATGTGCCCAAGACCTGCCACTCTCTCTGCCTGCACCCTGCCTTCCCCCTGCCTACATGGCCCCTCAGGGTGTGCTGTGTTCTTCCTCGGGAACCAATGAATGATAAATCTCTCTGATCCATTCTCCTCTGTGGTCTTCTGTTGATGATCTGGCACCCCGGGGCTCTACTGAACACACATTCATCTAACAAAGTCATAATACACACGCGCTTCCTTGCTTTCTGCAGGCTCATCTGATAGCTGCCCCACCCTAGCACTGGAATCACCCTTTTCAAGGAGCACTGGTCTTTTTTTTTGAAGAATGGCACGGAAACCTAGGTCTTGGCGACAGGTGCGCTTGCTGCTACCGTGGAGTCCTCTCTCTGTCTAGGCCTTCTCAGCTGACAAAGCGTGGAAATACACACATGTATACCAACCCACCCAGATACACCTATCTGTTCTATTTCACGTGTGAGCATCTGCATGGACATTAAGATCGACGTGAGTTAATAGTCATGTCTCCAACCACAATCCAAGTGAAAGAGCGGGCACTGGCAAATGAAAAGTTCACAAAACCTTGGTAAAGGGGATCACTGGAAGAACTGCACGGTCACCCAGTGTCAGCTACCGTGAAAGAGGAAGATGCAGGGAATTCTCTAGGACATGTGAGTTTCGGTAAAATTTCTCTAACACTTAGCCTCAATACTTTTGACATGCCTCATGTTTTCACAATGATGATCTCACAATCCCAAGTACTGGGAAATACCTAAGACAGAAGGTAGGGACAAGAACAAGATAGGAAATGCAAAAGGAGGCAATGTTGGGCACAATCTGAAATTAGCTTAAGGGAGAAAAACATTATGGGACTTAATAAGGGGAATACACAGTCAACCACTCAGGTGGGACCATAAACCTTCACCACAAATCTTCCGTATGTACGAGGAGCATGTAATTATGTTCCCACACTGGTGAGCATCCTTGAGGGACTCTGAAAACCCCACCTAAGATCTTGTGCACGCCATAAAAATAAACAGTAACACTCACATCCTTCCGGTGTCCTCAGAGTCACGAAGTCATTGGTGTTGTGCACCTTGCTCAGACACTGGACCTGGACTTTAACCTGATACGTGGTGTCTGGCTTCAAGACTTTCAATATCGTGCTTGTTTTATTGCTGTGGGTCTCCACAGTCTTCCATATGCCCTCTCCAACCACCCTGGCCAAAGAAATAAAGATGCCATCATGTCAGAGCAACGTGAGGGTGTGGATGCCTGCCCCAACGAGTGGGGAGCCATGGAGCGCACGCCACACGAGTTTACAGAACATCCAGTGGTGGTTAAGGACACTGTTTTCTTCTCCCATGGCCAAGATAGGACTCACCTATAGTAGACGTTGTAGACACAAGAGGCGGAGGGCATTTTCTTGGGCCGTATCCAGGTCAAAGTTACATTCCCAGAGAAGTCAGCAGTCCACTGAAGGTTCTGTACTTTGTATACAGTGAGTTCATCTAGAGAGATGGAGAAAAGGGGATGTAACATGGTATCCTTGGACTTCAAAGGACAAAGAGTACCTTTGATTTTTAGGCCAACCTATCATGATCTAGGTGGTCAAACCACTGTCATCATCTTAAGACATTCCAGAAAAAGAGTTTAAATCTTCCTGTACAACCTCCCCCAGGGTCTCTTAAATATCCGGTCATGAAATTTTCATGATATTTTGCCTCCTTGGCTGCACTGAGGTCAGCTGTTTCTCAACAGAAAACACTACAGGTCCAGGGAACTGTGTCATAACAGGATCCATTACTGCTACAGACTGTTTGTGTGACCCCAAAATTCATATGCTGAATCCCAATCCCCAACCTAACGGTGTTAACAAATGGGGTTTCTGGGAGGTGTTTAGGCCATAAGGATGGAGTCCTTGTGAATGAGATTCGTGTCCTCGTCAAAGCGACCCCAGAGAGCTCCCTCCCCTGTCCCCCAGTGTGAGGACACAGAGAAGACCGCCATCTGTGATCCAGGAAATGAGCCCTCAACAGATACGGGATCTGTGGGTGCTTTGACCTTGGGCTTCCCGCCTCCAGGGCTGTGAGAAGTTTCTATTGTTTATAAGCCATTCGCTCTGTGGTGTCCTGTTATGACAGCCCAAAGGGACCAGGATGCTCCCTAAAAGCATTCCACACCCAAGGACTGAGTTCGCCCCACCACAAAGCCTGGGGCTCTGGGGGTGTGGTGCATCCACGCGAGGCGGGATGTCCATGGAGAACCAATCCAAGACCAGCGTTTCCCTCACAGGGACAAGTTCAAGTGCCAACAGAGACAGGACAAGCCTCACTTCACCGGGTGCTCCAACACTGGGCAAAAAGCAGTCTCCTCTTCAGACAGAGGAGAGGCTCCCAAGGGGGCCTGCTGGAGTGGGGGAGGGGACAGCTGAGGCAGAGCCCAGGGCCCCGGGGGTGGTGACACTCACCGCTGCAGCCCTTCTCATCGCTCTCGTCTGAGCAGTCCAGGAAGCCGTCGCAGCGCTCAGAGAGCACGATGCAGGCCTCGCCGTCCTCACACTTGAACTCCATGCTCATACAGGTCAAGGTGCTGTGTGTGGCTGTAACACAGGGGAGGGCCACGTTGTGGCAATGGTTTGTTGTGTTTAGGAAAAGAGGTCTGCATTCTCCGAATGAATCAGCTTCTGATTCAAAACACGCCTCTGGGGACGCCTGGGCGGCTCAGTTGGTTATGCGTCTGACTTCAGCTCACATCACGATCGCACAGTATATGGGTTTGAGTCCTGCGTCGGACTCTGTGCTGACAGCTCAGATTCTGGAGCCTGCTTTGGATTCTGTGTCTCCCTCTCTCTTTGGCCCTTACCTGCTTACTTCCTCCCTCCCTCTCTCTCAAAAATAAATGAACATTAAAATAATTAATGAAAAGAATACACCTCTGGGATGAGGAGCAGTAACCCCCAAAGGGCACCGCAATGCCTGTTTGACAGTAACAATTGGACTCTGTCTTCAGGAAAGGCAAGAGCTTTGAAGTCAACCCATCTAGCTTGTATGCAGTCATTTACAAACTCCACAGTGATTCACCAGAACTGGCCAGGGATGGATACTTCTGTTCTAGGACAAGAACAAATAAGGCCAATTTCTTTAAAAAAATATGTATTTTTTAATGTTTTTATTTATTTCTGAGGGAGAGAGACAGCAGGGGAGGGTCAGACAGAGAGAGGGAGATACAGAATCTGAAGCAGGCTCCAGGCTCTGAGTTGTCAGCACAGAGCCTGACATGGGGCTCAAACCCACGAACCACGAGATCATGACCTGAGCCGAAGTTGGACGCTTAACCGACTGAGCCACCCAGGTGCCCCTAGGCTGTTTTCTATCTGAAACACCACATCCACCTCTGAAAACCACACTTAGAGAGGGAGGTAGAAAAACTGGATAATGTTCTCACCAGAGAACCAGGACAGCAACAGGAATGGATAAGGGATCGAGGGATAATGTTGCTAGAGATGAAGAGACCCAGGCGTGGAAGGGGGGTGGAATGTTTTAACAACCATCCTCAATGGCAAGTGCTCGTGTGAAGGAAGAATTAAAGACTTTGCATGTCTCTAGTGTGGAAGTATAGACTGCAATTAAATATACTTTTAAAAGAGCTCTCTACCAGAGTAATTCGCAATGAGAGAAAGGAAATGTGAGGCTTTTTACAAACCATAATCCCCCATCTCCTGGCAAATCATTATATTATTGAGTTCTGCTATATGCTGAGTAGACACTGGTTTGCTTTGAGGAAGCTGGAAGGGGGGCCTGGTTACAAATAAAACTGCATTAGAGCATTTAGAAAAAGTGTCTGTGGAAACTTTCATGACTGTAGCTATAATATATAAAAAATAAAGAATAAAATTTAATCAAACATTCTAAAAAAAAAAAAAAAAAACGAAAATGTTTGAGACCCAACAGTATAAGAAACTCAAGATGGAATTCACCTTTCCATCTATCCATCAACCTAACCAGCCTCTTACCCATTTACTCATCCAGGAAGCCAGCAACCCATTATCCACCTACCCACCTACCAACTATCTACTCATCAGCCAGCCAGCCAGCCAGACACCCATCTGTCCATCTACCTACCCATCCACCCACCCTTCTACCCCTTCATTTATCCCTCTACCCATCCATCTATCCATCCACTCATCCATCTACGCCTCCATCTATCCATCTACCCATCTGTCCATCTATCCATCCACCCATCCACCCAACCATCTATCCATCTAGTGAATATTCATGGAGGGCCTACCTTGAATCAGGTACTATTCAAGATGCTAAGACTATGGTGATGTGTAACACAAAGGACCTACCCTCATAGAGTGTCTTTTCTATTAAGAAAAACAGCCAACAACTCTGGTATTTTAGACTATGATTAAAAACTACAAAGAAACATAAAGAGAGGAATAATAACAGGATGATGGACAGGGCTCATTTCATGTAGAAGAGTCAGAGACAAACCCCACGAAAGGCATGGTTTCAGAAAATGCCAAGATCCCCATCACAGAATTATTCTGCATGGTAAAATATAATCAAACTATAGCTGATTGTAAAGCTGGTGGATGCCTGAGGTTTCTTTATGAAACAAGTCTCAACATTTTTAAAGTGGCAAAATGTAGGTTTTGGAAACTGAGAATATAGTTGTTACTAATCTTTGAAGATTCCTCAACTGATAATTAAATAAATGATTAATAAGTACTGAGAGCAGGATGCAGTGGCCTTCAGAGGCCAGCTTTTCTGAGAAGAATCATCGTGGTAATCTCATTTCCTTTTTTTTTTTTTTTAAAGTTTATTTATTTTAAGAGAGAGACAGAGAGCATGCAGGGGAGGGGGAGAGACAGAGGAAAAGAGAGAGAATCCCAAGCAGCTTCTGCACCACCAGTGCAGAGCCTGATGTGGGGCTTGAACCCACAAACCATGAGATTATGACCTGAGCTGAAACCAAGTGTCAGACGCTTAACTGGCTGAGCCACTCAGGCGCTGCTCATTTCCTTTTTTGATAGGGTTCTCAGAATAATGGATTGAGGAAAATTGAAGATGAAGCACATTTTTATTTGCCTTAAGTAGGCACCATCCTTATGATTAACACCAATTTCGAACAGTTTTAAAAAAAACTTATTTAAAGAATACCGATTAGGGGCGCCTTGGTGGCTCAGCTGATTGAGTGTCCAACTCTTGATTTTGGCTCAGGTCATGATCTCACTGTACATGGGATCAAGCCCTGTGTTGGGCTCTATGCTGACAGCACAGAGCCTACTTGGAATTCTCTCTCTCTGCCCCTCCCACCCCTGCTCCCCAACATGCACCAGCACTCGCTTTCTCTCAAAATAAATAAACTTAAAAAAAAAAAGAATACCAATTAATGAATTAATTTACGCAGGAGGAAGTTCCTAATGCATTTCTCTGTTAATTATTTTCAATGTCGTCTTACTGTGTGGTTGCTTATTTGGCTAAAATGGTCCTGCTATCATCTGAAGGGAGCATGGGATTAAGCTGCCTTGTTCTTTTAATGTCCCAGAGGTCCATCTGAATTTTACACTATTCCCTATTTAGCGTCTCTCTGTTGTTTCAGAATATTCCGCCCTATATGAGCTTTGAATGCGGCATGCTGAAAAGGTCACAGCCTTGTCCAAAAATAAATAAATAAATGGGGTGCCTGGGTGGCTCAGTTGGTTAAGTGTCCAACTTTGGCACAGGTCATGATCTCATGGTTCACGAGTTTGAGCCCTGTATCAGGCTTTGTACTGACAGCTCAGAGCTCAGAGCCTGCTTTGGATTTTGTGTCTCCCTCTCTCTCTGCCCCTCCCCCACTTGCACTCTGTCTCTCAAAAATAAATAAATGTTAAAAAAATTAAATAAATAGACAAATAATGAAGAAACCTCAACAGACACCTGGTACTGACAAGGTGATCTTCTCTGAAGCTAATTTTGCTAATTCTAAAAGGGAGACAATACCAAAATCACAAGGTTATCATGAGAAAGGAAGCACGAATAACAGGGTCTCCTGCTCTGCAGAAATCCTCCCCAGCACCGAATCCCTCTGAGACTACTCACGACAGTTGGCCTCGTCCTGGCCATCCTGGCAATCCTGGTGGCCATCACAGCGCCTCCAGTTGGGGATACACTTCTTTGGTTGGCGGCACTCGAATTCAAACCGGTCACAGCGCCCGCGCTGAGTGGGAGTAGAGGCAGCAGTGACATTTGCTGGAAGAAGAGGGTTTTTTTTAAAAATTCATTTTTCAGTACTGAGGGACCCGGTCGGCAAGAGCAACCAACTCGATGTGGTAGGAAATTTAGGAAAGGACAGTGCTTTGGGAATGACGATGGGGGCCTGGAGACAATGGTGAGCTCTGGATAAGGAAGGCGGATGGACCAGACGTGGGCATCTAATTTTGGAAGCTGGATGTCAACAGATAGTGGTAAGCGACTCAAGAGACCAGAGGAGGCTGAATGCCACCCTGAGCTGTCACAGGAGGAAGCAAATAACCTGGAAGGTCAACATCACAGAATCTTCAAAACGTTGGAAAGTCTTGTCTCTGAACTAGGAGAGAAGAGGGAGAAAGACGATAAGGGAAGAGACTGAAGATTCCCTATGTCCCCCGCTCCCACTGGCCCCATCATGAGCCTACTGTCCGGTACATCATTCTCACAGAAGACCAGAGCATTGTAATGTGGAGGGTAAAAAGGGCTGGTTAGACAGGCCCAGCTAAGGGCAAGAATATTGTACTGAAGAAAAGGGGTTACACCCACAGCTTGCTGAATGCAAGGACCCTGGTCCCCTTCCTCATAAACCCTGCCAGTGACAACTTTATTCTCTAGGCAGTGATTACTGTAAAAGTCTTCTCTAGGGAAACTGACTAGCCTTGGGGACAAACCCTCAAGGAACTCGGATGAAGAAACAAACAGCCCAACCATGAAACTCAAAGCTATGAGTCTACCTATGTGCAAGGAATCTCCTAGTGGTGTTTTCATCCACAGTCTTAAACACAAGCAAACAACTCAGGATTATCCAGGGGAAACCTCTGACATGAAAGACAGAAACCAGTGCAGATCCCCTTCCCCCTGAAAAAAAGAAAATTTGGAGAAAACAGATTTTGTAAGAAGAAAACTTCAAAAAATAAATACCCTTAATAGGCTCAGAATGAAAGAATACAGGTATTTACATGAAAATGGACAAAATGTCATGAAAAAGGAATAGTACTAAAAATTTTAAATCTTTTTTAAAAATTATTTTTAATGTTTTATTTATTTCTGAGAGAGAGAGAGAGAGAGAGAGCATGAGCAGGGGAGAGTCAGAGAGAGGGGGAGGCACAGAATCTCAAGTAGGATCCAGGCTCTGAGCTAGCTGTCAGCACAGAGCCTGACACAGGGCTCGAACCCACAAACTGTGAGATCATGACCTGAGCTGAAGTTGGACACTTAACCGACTGAGCCACTCAGGTACCCCTAGAAATTTTAAATCTTTTAAAATTAAAATCATGGTAACTGAAATGGAAAACTCAGTAGGAGAGCTGAACAAGAGAGTGAATCTTCCAGAAAAGAGAAAAAAAATAGAGATAAAGAAATGTAAAAAAATAGAAAAGAGACCATGTCAGTAGATCCAATGCATAAATGACACGAGTTCCCAGAAGAGAAAACAGAAAAGAAAATACCATTAATGGAATATTTCGAGGAAAACTCTCCAAACTCAAATACATCAACTTCCAGAATTAAAGAGCCTATCAGTGTCTGTCCAACCACACTGGATGGAAAGGGACCCACGTCAATGCACATCATTGTGAAATTTCAAAACACTGGAGCCAAAGGCAATACCCTACAAGCCTCCAGAGAGTTAAAAAAACAAAAACAAAAACAGAGGGTGCCTGGGTGGCTCAGTGGGTTGAGCATCTGACTTCGGCTCAGATTATGATCTCGTGGGTTCGAGCCCCGGGTCAGGCTCTGTGCTGACAGCTCAGAGCCCAGAACCTGCTTTGGATTCTTTATCTCCCTTTCTCTTTCTCTCTCTCTCTCTCTCTCTCTCTCCCCCTCCCATGCTCATGCTCTGTCTCTCAAAAATTAATAAACATTAAAAAAAATGTGACATATAAATGCTCAAAATCAAAATGGCTTTGGATTTCTCAAGAGCGGCTCAACACCAATGGAACATTGCCTCCCAAATTCTTAAGGAGAATTGCCGACAACCTAAAATTCCAAGCCCAGACCAACAATTGTCCATCACCTCTGAAGACAGAAGAAAAACACTTTCAGATAAGTAAGACCTCAGTGATACCTCCCCTGTTCTCGAGAACCTTCTGGAAAATGTGCTCTACCAAAAGGTGGGGTTAAACTGGAAAAAAGGGGGAGAGGGGAGAAATCTGGGATATAGAAAATAGGAGCCCCAACATGAGAGAAGTAAAACAAGTCCTTAGGATGGAGAAACCATGTCCCGTAAGGCACCTGTGGCCCAGGCATCGAGAGCAACAGGCACAAATCCAAGCAGCGAGCCTAGGACACATACATGTTGAAGGCCGTCCTCTCTGTGCCCTTGGCTGCTGTGTCACCGTACGCACCCGACAAAGCTACCAGAGGGTGTGCTCCAACAACACACGGGAGTAAACTGAGAAAAGCAAAGTGTGAGACCCAGGAAGCGGCAAATCTGAACCAGGAGGAAGGCAAAGAGATCCCAAGGAGGGCGGTGAAGGCCCAGGGGAGGGGCACGCAGTGGGCCTGGAGAACCCTGGGCCCGGAGTGGGAGATCTGGGCAATTTGAAGGGAAATATTAGAAATCACTGACACAGGGACCTTGGGGAGAGTTACCCTCAGCGGTGATGGAGAGGAAGAAAGCGGCAGCCAACGTCACTTGTAACCTGAGCTAACGAACACAATAACAAACACCAATGACTAACTTCGCGATATTGTGCTTATTCCATGGTTTTAACTGGATTTTCAAAAGGGCCTCTCCTACCCCCAGAACTACTCTGCAAAAACAGGGTGCACAAGGAAAAGCAGTAAAAAATGAGGCTAGAAAGTCAGGCCAACGCACATCATAGCACTACTGCCTGGACAATGAGGGGGGCCGCCAGAAGGTTCCAAGTTGGGGAGGACAAGTTCACGCATCACCGTGCGGCCTCTCCGAAGGTAAACTGAAAACGGGAGGCACACAAGACCCAGACACCGGTTAGGAGACTCGCAATGAAGAAACCAGACCTGAGAGCCTGAGACAACCTGAGTTAAATCTGCACTGATGACGTCCCTACAAAAGGAATCACAGAAACTGAACGGAAAATCCAAAAGGGAATCTGCTCGCTGGACTCAGCAGAATTTGCTAGAGTCCGTTAATACCCTGCTCCGAGTTTCAATAACCAAAAGACAATTTTGAGAGAAGGAGAATCGAGACACAAACCAGATAGTTGGGTCTTAGGGGCCAAGGACAGAGATTTAAAAAAAAAATTTTTTTTTTATAGTTTGTTTTGAGAAACATTTTTAGGACACTATTTGGCTGTTACTGTAACAAGCAAAGTGGGGATTCCAAGGGGTACACAGCACGATCCCAAAACACAAGGTTCCGCAGAGTCACTTGGAGAAGAAAGACGGCCACACGTGAAATGACCAGGAAGCAGCACGTGACAGGTCATAGTGAGGGATCAAAAGGACAATGGGCAAACGTGAGACTGGAAAAGAGATCAATTATGTCAACTACAGGGCTTGGTGAAAGCCCCACAGTGCTGAGGCCGAGATGGAAAATAACAGTGTACGTGTTCCAAGCAGAAATCTCAAACTTTAGTGAACCTCCAGGTCACCTGGGGAGCTCCTGAGTTCTATACGGAAATCCTAATTCTGTATTTTTTTTTTAACAAATGTCCCAAGTGATGTCCCTTACAGGTGGTCTTCGTTCCAGACTTTCTTTGATAAGAACTGAGCACACATCAAGGTGTCTTTCGGCTACAAAATCCATGCCTCCGTTTGCTGTGACGGGCGGTGGGTTTCACAGAGCGGGGAAGGATGGAGGAGAGAGGTCTTTGGTGAGGCAGAAACCCCACTTATCAGCAGGGAAGCGGGTCTGTCCAGAGGGGATGAGGGTGAGGAACCCAGCTCAGCACAAGTGCGAAGCAACAGCAGCAGGAAAGGAAGGGCCTTGAAAACAGGACTCGAGGGTTGGGATCTATCTTTGGGACGAGAGGAAGCTACTGATGACGTTAAACAGTGAAGCAATGGGATGGGTGAGTCCTAAAGGGGTAAAATGAGTGTTCACCTCAAAGTTTGCTGGGAAAAGGATTTGTGAAGCGTAGCCAACAATTGTCTCTTCTCTCATCATAAACCGAGTTTGCAATAGCATCTTGTTGAGGGAAGAACACATCACCCTCACCTCTGTCCTGCCTGCAGTTAAGGGCATGTACTAGACAGGGGTCTCAGGGTTTACATTCCCCTCCATCCCCTCCTCCCCAACCCCCCGCCCCCCAGCAACATGGGTACTGCCCACACCTTCAGGTGCCTCTCAGTGTTCGGCCACTAGATGGCAGTGCTTGCCCTCCTTTAGGAGGCAGGCAGCCAGCTTGCAGGCAGGAAAATTGGACTCTCCCCTCTGGGAGTGTAACACACACACACACTTCCCCTATAATTCTCATTGTGATTTCCTGTGGAGAAGGACGCAAAGGTGGCCCGCCCGCAACCAGGGGGGACTGGCCTCTTCACGCAGGAAGATCAAAAGGCGGTTATAGGAGAAGAGACACTCTAGGTAGAGTTACCCAGGTTGCCCTGCTCTGCAAGTGAGCAGCAGCCTGGCCGCCAAGCACAGGGTCCCGGAAGGCAGGGGACGCTGTGCCCAAGGAGTTCCCCCAAGGGTCTGGCCCCAGACACAGGTGCCCAGGGAGAGAGCGGGGCGGGGACTCACCAGGCGAGGGGCAGGCTTCCTCATCCGAGCCGTCTGCACAGTCCCGGTACCCATCGCACACCCAGCTGTCCATCACGCACGCCCCGCTGCTGCAGCGGAAGTAATTGGGCAGACACGTGGTGGGCCCAGGAGTTGGGGAGGGAAGAATGGGTGAATCTGAGCAAAACACAAGCAAGGAAACCCAAAGAGTCACAGGAAGCCATGGTCTCAGACCACAATGTGTCCCACACGTAGTGTGGCTGTCTCAGTTCTCACTACGCTGGCTTGGGGGAGGGGGGGCAGCGTCAGGCATGGTTCTGAAGAACAGCTCATCTAAAACTCATTTATAATGAGGCATCAGAACACGCTGCAATCTATTTCCCTTCTTGGGGCAGATTCACCCATCCTATTGAATCGAATATTCCGAGCTAATATTCGAATGAGTTTGCTCTTGCTCAGTAGAGGCTCAGTGCTTTTGCAGGCGGATGGAGGGAAGGGGACTCGGAACGCAGAGGGAGGCTGAGAGAACTCATCGCACTGAGGCCAAACACAGTTCTGGTGAATGCTCAAATACAGCACCCTCCTGAGACCCTGTTCGGACGTGAGAGCACCAGAGAGGAAGAGTATTGGGCGTGCATTGCACACCAGCACCTCCCAGAGGTGGTGAGGCACACAAGTCATCTGGAGGTCCTGTTAAAATGCAGATGCTGACTCAGAAAGGAAGTGTGGGGTGGGGCCAGACACTGCACCTTTTTTTTTTTAAATTTTTTTTTTTTTTACTGTTTTATTTATTTCTGAGAGAGTGAGACAGACAGCGTGAGCAGGGGAGGGTCAGAGAGAGAGGGAGGTACAGAATCTGAAGCAGGCTCCAGGCTCTGAGCTAGCTGTCAGCACAGAGCTCAATGCAGGGCTTGAACCCACAAACTGTGAGATCATGACCTGAGCCGAAGTTGGATGCTCAACCTACTGAGCCACCCAGGTGCCCCCAGACACTGCACCTCTAACAAGCCCCAAGCAGATGGGGACGCTGCTGGTCCGCAGGCTCCAGAGGGCTTTCCGTGGCCTGCAAAATACTCAGAAGCAGGAGAAACCAGTCACACTGGTTTTCAAAGAGGGAGGGGATAGAAAAGAATTCAGGAAGTTATTATGTCCCCCCCCCCCCCCCCCCCCCCGCCCCCAATCACTGACAAAACCTTTCTGTGCAGAAAGGTGGCGCTGTGCCGGCGCGTCCGGGTCGGGGGCTGCCCCAGGACCCTTACCTCCACAGTCCTTCTCGTCGGACCAGTCCTCACAGTCATTTTCCCTGTCACACTTCCACCTGTTGGGGATGCAGTGGCCATTCTCACACTGGAACTGGAAGTAGCGGGAGCAGTTCGGGGCTTCCGTGGGGCTTTCTGGGGGAGATGAGCCACACCGTCAGTCACTGGCCCCGCACCAGTGGGCAGCCCGCACAACCCTACCAAGATTCGGTGGGCGGCAAAGATCTATATCCACAAAGACAAGCCCATCTTCGTGGATCCCAACTCTTGCTTCTCTGAGCCAGGCTTCTTTATCTGAAAAATAATACCCGACTATCTGACACTTTATCAAAGGGATGGTCTAACTACTGATAGTACCCCGACAGGGACAATGACTCTATTAAGTTGCAGAATCTGTTGACTCATACGTAGAACTTAAGAAACGTGATAGATGGACACAGGGGAAGGGAAGGAAAAATAAGAAACAGAGAGGAAGGCAAATCATAAGAGATTCTTAAACCCTGAGAACAAACTGAGGGTTGCTGGAGGGGAGGGGGGCAGGGGATGGGCTAAACGGGTGATGGGCATTGAGGAGGGCACTTTTTGGGATGAGCACTGGGTGTCACATGTAAGAGATGAATCATTGGATTCTGTTCCTGAAGCCAAGACCACACTGCATGTTAACTAAGTGGAATTTAAACTTAAGGAGGAAAAAGCTGTGGAATCTGTAACTTTTCGTGGGGAGAGGGAAGCACACTCTGAAATATTTACTGTAATTCTTCTACTGTATTCCTTAGACAGAATGTGAACTTCCCAGCTGGGGAAAGAAAAGGAAGGGGAATAAACATCCCCCCACCCCCGACGCCTACTGTCGGGGGGTGATGGCTGCCACTTTGGGACTTGATTCCTTACATGGAGGCTCACTCGTGAGCTGGCAGAAACTAGAGCTGAGAAAGCAGAGCTCGTGTGGGAGTGTGCCGAGAGTGACCTCCTTAACCACAGGAATCGCAGAGACGCGGAGGTTAGGGACGAGAGGCCGAGGGTCTGGGGTCTTACCACAGTTGGCTTCATCAGAGTAGTCGCCGCAGTCATCCATGCCATCGCATTTCCAGATCAAGCTGATGCACACTCCATTCTCGCACTGGAAACTGAACTCATCGCACACCTTGCGGAACTCAGGGTCTTGGGCTAGATGAGGAACAAGGTTCCAGGTTACCACTGCATCAATGAGTTCATAGGAGTGTCCCCCCCACCCCATGGAAACATGGGGAGACAGCAAATGTCCCCCTCCAAGAGACAAACCAGCTACAGGCTTCCTGGACAACAGAAGCCAACTGATGGCCTCACCCTCAGGAGCTCAGATGGCGACTATACTTGGAAACGGGGTCTTAAAGAGGTGATGAAGTTAGGGGTGTCTGGGGGGCTCAGTCAGTTAAGCATCCAACCTCTGCTCAGGTCATGATCTCACGGTTCATGAGTTCGAGCCCCGCCTTGGGCTCTGTGCTGACAGCCAGCTCAGAGCCTGGAGCCTGCTTCCGATTCTGTGTCTCCCTCTCTCTCTGCCCCTCCCCTGCTCACACTGTCTCCCTCTCTCAGAAATAAATAAGACATTAAAAAAATTAAAAAAAAGAAAATAAAATTGAAAAAAAAGAAAACGATGGAATTACAGTGAGGTCCTTAGGGTGGACCCTAATCTGACAGGACTGGTGTCCTTACAAGAAAAGGAAAGCAGGACACGGGCGGGCACGGGGGGAGACCATGGGAGGGAGAAGGCAGTCGTCGGCAAGCCACGGAAGAGGGCCTCAGAACAACCAACCCTGCCGACATCTTGGCCTCAACACATTTCGGTCGTTTGAGCCACCCAGTCTGTGGGCTTCTGTGGTGGCGGCCAGAGCCGCCAGGATAAGTAGCTGCCACTGGCCCTGTTTTAAGAACGGGGCTCCAGGGGCACCCGCCTGGCTCAGTCAGTTGAGCATCTGACCCTTGGTTTCAGCTCAAGTCATGATCTTGTGGTTTGGGGGTTCGAGCCCGGGTCGGGCTCTGTGCTAACAGGGTGGAGCCCGCTTAGGATTTTCTCTCTCTCTCCCTCTCTTTCTGCTCCCCTCAACTTGTGCCATCTCTGTCTCTCTCAAAATAAATAAGCTTAAAAAAAATAGAACGGAAGCCATAGTCGTGAACAAAACAAAGGTCCTGTTCTCGTGAAGCCCACGTTCCGGCAGGGAGGGACAGGCAGTCCAATAAAAACACAGCATGTGAAGTGCTGAGTCGTGCGGGGAAGGCCACTGGAACCAGACGAGGCCGCTAGAGTGGCGGGCCGCGCGAAAGGCCTGCCGGAGAAGGGGCTGTGTGGGCCGAGACCTCGGACCTTCGCGCCTTCCCCTGACACGTATACCAACAACCAAAGAGCACTACTTCTGAAGCAACAGAGAGAAGTCTTTTCAGAAAGGGCAAGGCCTGCAAGCCAGAGTGACCCGCTCCCCCACAGCGTCACCAGTGGCGCAGGCCCCACTCACAGCATCCTGCATAGGCGGTGTCCTCGTCGGAGCCGTCGTGGCACTGGACGATCCCGTCACACACCATGGAGTGGAACAGGCACTGCTGGCGGTTCTTGCAGACAAAGTCCATGAAGCGCGTGCACAGGGGCTCTGGAAGGGGTCCGGGGAGGGGGGAGGGCGTGAGCACTGGGAGCTGGTGGGGCCCCCTCGCCGGCCGTGAGCAAGGGCTCCCAGACAGGTGCACACTCAGGAAATAGTCATAAGAGCCACGTTCACCGGTGCCCTGAGTGAGAGCGCCTGACATGGAAGTACAACATTCAGCTCTCGGGACGATATTTTTTTTTTTTTTTTTTATGTTTTATTTATTTCTAGGAGAGAGAGAGAGAGACAGCGGGAGCAGGGGAGGGTCAGAGAGAGAGGGAGTCACAGACTGAAACAGGCTCCAGGCTCTGAGCTGGCAGTCAGCACAGAGCCCGACGCGGGGCTTGAACCCACGAACCGCGAGATCATGACCTAAGCGAAAGTCGGACGCTTAACCGACTAAGCCACCCAGGCGCCCCTCGGGACGATATTATGAGAGATTTTACTGTCCCGTTTTCCAAATGAGAACAGAGGGGATGGGACGGCAGCATTAAACGTTTTCCAAAAGCACACAGCTAATGAGGGTGGAGCAATACAGACACCCAGGCCCGTCTGACATCGCTCATGACTTCATGACCACGCAGAATACGGACTCTCGGGGTGCCCGGGTGGCTCAGTTGTTTGAGCATCCGACTTCAGCTCAGTTCTGATCTCACAGTTTTTGAGTTTGAGCCCTGCGTCCGGCTCTGCGCTAACAACTCAGAGCCTGGAGCCTCCTTCCGATTCTGTGTCTCCTCTCTCTTCTCTCTCTGCCCCTCACTTGCTTTGCTCTCTCTCTTTCAAAAATAAACAAACATTTAAAAAAAAAAAAAAAGAATACGGACTCTGTACTACTTTTTCTATAAAGGACCAGCGATGGACAGAATTTTACCCCGGACAACACATATGTAAAAGCCCTCATCCCCACTGTAAATGTATTTGGGGACAAGGCCCCTTTTAATTGCTTTTAAAGAGGTCATTATGGTTCAGTGAATTCATGTGGGTGGGGCCCCATCCAGGGCAGGCAGTGGCCTCCGAAAAAGAGACACCATGCAGACAAAATGCCATGCAGGACACAGCCAGGAGATGGCCTTCGGACTTGAACTGCAACATCAGCCTGCCCCTGAGTCTCCGGCCTGCCGGCCTACCCTGCAGATCTGGGGACTCGCCAGGCCCTGCACGAACTGATCCCTGAAAACAAATCTCTCCGTATATGACACACACATCCTAGTCATTCTATTTCCTGGAGAACGGGGAGCAACCCAACCAGGGGGCAGGCTCTCAGGGTTCTGGAGCCCCTACAGTCTCTATCACAGCTACTCCACTCGCCACGGCGGCACGGAAGCAGCCGGAAGCCAGGGACACACAAGCAGGGGTGTCTGTGTTTACAGAAAACATCCATTAATAGAAGAGACCACATACAGGCTGGCTTTCCGCCCCAGGCCCGACTGCCAACCCTGCACTATTATGTCAGTTCTTAACCTGGACTGCGTATCACAACCACCCGAGGCACTTTTTAAAGGTCCCAGAGATCAAGGGACGTCTGGGTGGCTCAGTTGGTTAGGCGTCCAACTTCAGCTCAGGTCATGATCTGGTTTATGAGTTCCAGCCCTGTGTCGGCCTCTGTGCTGTCAGCTCAGGGCCTGGGGCCTGTTTCAGATTCTGTGTGTCTCTCTCTCCCCTTCCCTACTTGTTCTCTGTCTTTGTCTCTGTCTCTCAAAAATAAACAAATATTAAAAAAAAAAAAAAAAAAGATCCTCATGTTCAGGCCATGCTCCAGATGAATTACTTCCAAATCTGGGGTTGGAGATGGAGGCACCCGAGCAAAGCATACTCAGACATGCGCACCAGTGATCCAAGAAAGTCTCTCTGAGTCTAAAGGAAATGGGGGGGGGGGCGGTAAAAGGGTCCCCTGGTCCGAAAATGGTACCCAAGAGATAATCAGCAACAGGCGAGTAGGAGAAGTAAGTGTTCAGTTCAAGACGACGGGTGGATGCCCAAACGCCCTGCAAATAAGCACCAGTGTCCAGCGAGCTGCGACCTCTCCACGATCGCCCCCCGCCGCCAGGAGAGGACTCACCACAGTGCTGCTCATCGGAGCCATCCGAGCAGTCCCGGAGACCGTCGCAGTGCTTGCTGGAGGGGATGCAGGTGCCGTTCGGGCAGCGGAAGCCGTTGCACTTCTTCTCTGAAATGCAGTCCGACAGTGGAGAGAAATGACGGACAGGAAACAGGCAGGCACATGCAGCCATCATCGGCGGAGGGGTGGGTGGTGGTGAGGGAGGACATGTCTGTACCACTCTTATGGAGGGGGGGATGGGTAACAGCTGTCCCAATTACAAATGTGCGCACACCTTGACCCAGCAATGCCATTGTACAAATGTCACACACAAGTGAAAAATCATGTGGGTATAAGGGTATTAGCTACAACGCTTTTTGTAAAACACTGAAGGCCACCTACGTGTCCAACGATAGGGGACTCTATAAGACTTTGTTGTATGTTCACTGGAGCACCGGATTGTTACAAAGGGACTGAAGGAGCACTCTGTAAAAAACGTGTGCTAGACACACAGTTGCGTGAAAAGAAACAAGGTAGCAAAACACCAGTCATCACATACTACTTGTGTAAAATAGAGCGAGAATACACAGTGTATTTAAATGTGCACATATGGACAAAAACATCCTACAAGTATCTCCAACCATAGTTTCCTAGGCGGACACAGGGAGAATCTGGCAGATGGGGAGAGAAAGGTTTACCCCACACCTCATGATACTTTTTTCCATTTTGAACCTTGAAAACATGTCACCTACTCAAAAAACTGAGTATGGATTTTCCAGAAAAGCTTCAGTGAGTTTAACAAAAAAAAAAAAAAAAAAAAAAAGGAGGCGGCGAATCCTGAGTATAAACCCTGGTCTTTTAAAGCTCTCATAAATCACCATCTTAATTCATCAGGAATTCTAAACCAAAGTCCTTTGGACGAAGTCCATCCTAGAAATGTTAAGAACCTTAGGTTTTACACTTAGCAGCGAATTCTGAGTGTGAGGTAACCCCTTCTCCTGAACACAGAGCTGTCGCTGGACGTTAGGCTTAAACGTAAGTTCTAGCACGTGAGTCACCGGCCACTGCAAATCCAGCTCTGAGAACAGCAGCTCTGGGAGGGTCGTGTGTGAGGCAAGAAAATGTGTTTTAATCCCCTTAATAGTCACCCTGCCTAGGAAGTTACTCTATGGACATCAAACAGAAACAGTGAGTGAGTACCACATTTAATGTCACTATTAAAGCTTTTTCTAAAAAGTATAAAATTAAAATTACACAAGACAAACTCCCATTCGTTGCATTAGTGAAAACAACTGAAGAGCTAAAATGTAAGGTCAAGGGAGACTTGGGGAAACTTACACTCCGTTCCTGATAGAGATGCTTTGGGCATAATCATTTGGAAATGCAATATGGCAACACTTAACGAGAATCATGAAAACACATCAGAACGTCTGACCCCGCAATTCCATACCAAGAGAACATACCCTGAGAAGTACCTTCAAGAAAAATGAAACCTTCATTTCCAAAGACAGAAGTAATTTCACTATGCAGGACAGTGCAAAATTAAAAGCACAGTCATGCCCAACCAGGAAGCAACTAAGTAAACTAAGTCAGAGAAATCCAAAGTGAATACGCATCTGCCATGAAAACGATAACTGGAGAAAAATACAGATAGTGGCAAACACCTTTGTTTAATATTGAGATATGAGAGGAAAAAAGTATGTGATGTGTAGACATGACCATCCCATGAAGATCTGGAATGTACGGTGCAAAGTAACAGGGAATATACGTATACGTGTATATATACATATATATATATATATATGTTGGTCTCTGCCCCTGGTTAGTGCACAGAGCTCTTAAACTCTTATAATTTTATAGGTGACAGGAGTGTTCTTTGTTCTAATGGGGCAACGCTAGATGGACTCAGCATAGCTTTAGGATGAGGGCTGATCACCAGAAAAACCATGCCATGATAGGAGGCTTGCCACTTTGAACCCCATCCCCCATATTCCAGGAAGGGCCAAGGGATAGAGACATAGGCCTATGCCACAAAGCCTCCATCAACATCCCAAAAGTATGGGGTTCAGGGAGCTGCCAGGTTGCTGAGCCAGAGAGGCTGGAGGAGTGACAGGTCCGGACAGGGCACAGAAGCTCCACATCCGTTTCCGATACCTTGCCCTACGCATGCCTTCCATCAAGGCATTCATTCTATCCTTTTCAAATAAACTAGAAAAATGTGCTTCCCTGAATTCTGTGAGCCATTCTAGCAAACCAATGAACCCAAGAAGTGGACGTGGGAATGTGGATTTACAGCTGGTCGGTCAGAAGTTCAGGTGACAGTTTGAGGCTTGTGATGGACCTCTGAAGTCAGGGGCAGTGCTGGGGACCACACCCTTCCCCTGTGAAATCTCACTCTATCCCAAGAAAGACAGTGTAAGGAATGAGTTAACTGAGGACACCCAGCTGGTATGGAAGAATTGCTTGGTATGGAAAATACATACTGGGTGGCCAAGGAGTGTTGAAGTCTTCTGTGAGCAGAAAGTTATGAGCAGAGACACAGGGATTTGTTTCTGACAGACATTAAAGAGAAAGGATAAGGAGAGAGGACCTTAAAGATATTTGGTTGAAAAGAGGATGTTATATATTGTGTCTGTGTGCTTGCTATTTTGCAAAGGTAACTGATGACCTCAGATTTATTTTCTAAATCAGTTATGCTACCTTCAGGGATGGTAAGCCATCTTACCAGAGGACCATAATAGAGAACTCTTAGCCATCAAATACTCTATTTACAGAGAAAATGTTGGCTGAGTTCTGGCAGAACACTGTCATTTCCGTCTTTGGTGACTATAGTTATGTAGTTAGCACTCTGGGTAGGTTCACTGGTTTCCATTTCTGTGCTTCAAGGTTGTGATGGAAAAGCAATGAGGCAAAATGGCTTCCCTGACAATGAAGACCATACCACATACTCCTACACATCCTGCGCAATGCCATACAGAACCTGGGAGGGCTTCTCTGGTTGTCAGAGTGGGCACAGAAGAGCCGTATTCCAATCCCCGGCCCATCTGTTGCCTCTTTTCCTGAACAGCAGACACTGGGAAAGCAGCAGGGGAAGGCTAATGCGTTTGCATTTACCACACTTCACCGGGTCCTCATCAGAACCATCCTGGCAATCCATGTCGCCATCGCACGCCCACCGCTGGGGGATACAGTGCCCATTGTGACACTGGAAGTTGGAGGCCTCGCAGGTGTGGTAGATGGCTGCCGGCAAAAGGAGAGAGAGAAAGTGTCAATGCCGCCCTCACCGCCGCTCCCCCACCAACCACCAAGGGGAGGACTGAAGAGACACCATCCTGGGTCATGAGGTGTGGATCGGAGAGCCCAAGTTCCTCCCTGGTCAGAAGCCACGCACCTGGGGCCACCCTGAAGGTGAGGGGCAGCCTCCTGATGAAACGACCGCTTGGCTCTGCAGGTTTGTAAATGTTACATAAGCACAGATGTACACGTCAAAAAAAAACACATTCGTTTTTCATGACTACCCATGACATAAGGATTATTCCCCGTCTATAGGTGAGAAACAGCCTGAGAGAGAGTAATAAACTTGACCACGTTCACAAAGACAATTCAGTAATGGCGCCAGGGCTATGGGAGCCCAAAGCCTGTGTGGCCCCTGCTCTGTCTTGCTACTTCATCTCCTCATGTAAACCCACTCACTCATGCAAATTCTGTGGGACAAGAAGAGATGGTGGGTGCTCAGGAGACTGGCCCTAGACCTGGTCCAGCCACTGTATCAGGGGCTTCACTCCCATCATCTACACTGACACATAAGGACCCTTATAAGCTCTGAAAGGCTGCCATTTTATAATTCTAAGTCAACCAGTTAATTTCAAATGTGGGAAACGTCAGATCCAAAGAGCACAGAAGATGTATCCAGACTTACAAAGAAAAGGTCCCAGGACCTCCCAGACCTGTCTAACTTTCTTGACAGTCAGGAGCGACATCTACCAGCCAATAATATGTAGTGTCCACGACAGTGATTTAAAAAAGAGGCAAGTAAAACAGAACTATTGTCACAACTGAACAGCCCTAGCTGCATACATGGGCAGAGGACACCTGGAAGTCCTTTAGAAACCACTCAAAGCCCTGGTCAAAGGCTAGTTCAGATGCAGAATAAGTGTCTGGAACCCAACCAACACTACTAACCACCTTCTCCATGAGATTTCCCCTTCCTCCACTGAACTAGAGAGCCGCTTGTGCCTGCTCATTGCTGAATGAAAGCCAGGCCTGGCCCTTTTTACAACTGACATAAAATTCATACCGCCGAGATAGATGGGCTCTGTTAGTTTATGTGGACACGGCGTCTTCGCAACAGAGGAGGCAAAAACAAACAAACGTGGGTGACTGAGTGCATACCGTAGTTATTTATTCAATCAAGGTGCTCGGCAATTGCTACTCAAGGGTTGGGAAAATTGGCTTTCAATGCCCTCTAGGATTTCTACTGAATTTGAGGCTATTTTTTGCAGTAGTCTGAAATACAAAGAACCTGATTTTTCAAACCACTTTAAAACAAGTGGTGGTCCATTATCTACTGTCTTCCTACCTCTCTGAAGATCAAGGATAGCATGCAAACAGGTCGACAGGAAGTTTGAATATTCCCAACCTTTGGCACTTGGCATCCATTAAACATCTTTTTAAAATATATTTATCTACTAATTTGACAATAAACTATTTGTAAAAAAAATGAATAAATAAAAAAATAAAATAAAATATATTTATCTGGTAACAGGAGTAACAAGGTACATGAGTTTTTGCCCCAGTAAACAGCCATTGCCTGGAATACTTTTGATCTATTGGTTTTCCGAACCTGACAGCCTTTGAAAATATTCCTCAGCAAAGTCTTGCTCACTTTCATAAGATATACTGCTGCCTAAGCTCATTACCATACTGTTCTGCTTGTTATTATCCAGCTTATGCATTACACTTTTAATTGAAAGCAATTTCAGAGTGCTAATGGAGTTTCCAAATGACCATTCTGGGAGGCATGTCTGAGAGCTCCAAAATATATCACAGAAGCTGAGCTCAGGAAGATTCATTAGTTTGTACAGTCTCATGTAACTGGCCAGGTATGAATGGAATGCTTAACACATTCTTTTTCCCTGAATTTTCCCGTCTTCTGAGTGACTGATTAGCTTTCTGACATTGAGTGTCTGGTAAGTAATACATATTCAATTAATCCCCCTTTTTTCTAAATTATAAGGATAGAAGAAATGGACTTCAATACATATGAAAGAATTGGGGGAGAAAAACAGGAATCCTTTACACGGCAGAATTCACTGTGACTGTAAGAATGGATGGGCTAATAGGGTAAATGACCTTGAAATTAGAGGATCCTGGTTTCTAACAGAGGCCATTATCTTACACTTTACTCTCTGACTTGGACAGATCTTCTGTGACTCAGCAGGACCCTCTGGAATGCCCGGTTGAAATTATTAACCAAATACAAGTGGGGCAGAAGAGATGAATGGATTAATATGGTAGAAAAGCACTACCAGAGTCAATACACAGTACTGGCCTATTAGGAAGAGAGTGAGGGAAAAGAAGTGCAAATACCAATGTAACTTCAATGATTACTGACATAAAAGTAATAACATAAAGCATAAAGAAAAGAACCAGATAGAAATTCCAGATATAAAAAATATAGTCATGGGGTGCCCGGGGGTGGCTCAGTCAGTTAAGCATCCAACTTCGGCTCAGGTCGTGATCTCACGGACCATGAGTTTGAGTCCCACATCAGGCTCTCTGCTGTCAGCACAGAGCCCCCTTTGGGTCCTCTGCCCCCTCTCTCTATCCCTCCCTTGCTCTCTTTCTCTCAAAGATAAATAAACTTAAAAAATGTATGTATATGGTCATAGAAATAAAAATAGCTCAGTGGATGTGTGAAACAGTCCATTAGATTCAGCTGAAAAGAGAACTGATGAACTGGAAGAGAAGTCTGAGGAAGTAACCGAGACTGTAGCACATTCATAAAGAGTCATAAAGAGACAACGGATACAAAAACAAGAACCATGAGCAACAGAAGGGCACAGTCCAACAAATGGTTGATCGTAACCACTGAAGGCGAAAGCAGAGAAAGTACCAGATAGAGCTGAGAAGATCACGGCTGTAATTCCCCAGTATTGATGAAAAACAAACCCTCAGACTCTAGAAGGAAAACAAATCTCAAGAGCAAGACAAATAAAAATAATTCCTTCCTAGACAGGAGAAGTTGCATACCAGCCACAAAACAAAGGAATCCACAAGAACCTATGGATAACTAGAGAGAAAAGAGTGTCTGATTATTGTTTGAACAGATCACCTGACAGGAGAAATCAAATCAACACAGAAGAGGCCAGAAGGAAACAGACTGGCCTTTTACTTATGAAAAATTACTACAAACTCAGAAACCCAGATCCATCTGAATTCAGGATTGAGAGAAGCAAAATAAAGACAGGTTTATATAAACAAATGCTTAAAACAGTTTACCAGTCACGGACTCCTGCTGCAAGAAATGGAGAAGGATGTTCATGGAAGGGCATCAGATACAAGAAGTAGTGGTAAATGGTTATTAACAAAGACTGATATTAGGATTTTTAAAATGTAAAACTAGAATACTAAGTATTTACTGAGTCTTGTTAGTCTTGGGACCGAGTGCAGAGACTGGAATCCAGGAGAGGCGGGTGTCACTACGAAGACACACGACGTCTAAGCGTGACCACTAAAAGAACAGAAATCAAATTTAAGTTCAAAATTCCATTTGAGGAGGTGGGGTGAAGGAGATAAAGAAAACTCAACCCCATGGAAAGCAGAAAGCAAGGAGGAGAAGAGCAAAGACCTGGCATGCAAGCTGAGGCCGACAGGAAGTCAGTTGACCCCGCTCTCTTTTCCCTGGCTTTGCAGATGACTTAATTTATTGGGTCAGGAAATGAAGCGACACACCACATGTCCTAATGAGCTCACAGCTGACTGCCATCGATTCGGAGATGACAGGGAAGGAGAATCATCCTTACACAGGTTTGAAGAAGAGCCATGAGAACAGGAATATCTCTACATTTTCCCCAGATAGCCCCACCATAAAAAAATCAGAGAGAAAACTCAGGAGTCCATGGTGAACCCACCCGGAGAAATGAGTTGATAACTCATCCTGGAGGACCGGCACGTGCCGCTGAAACACAACATTGACTAATTCGGTTGTGCTAACAAGATGTTCAATCATTTTGCAATTTACAAACTGAAAGGCCCAAGTGCACCCCTCTAATTTATTAACCAATCACCCACTCAAACCCACAGCTTCCAATCAGCACTCGTGGCTCCCGGGCTCATGGCACTTCCTTCCTGGACCTTGGTTTTCCAAGGAGAGAAGCATTTTCCTGCATTTCCGCCTCCCCTCCCCCCACCACAGAACAGAGGTTCGGACACTGACAGATCACACCAGAAAGGACAAAGGGCAAGTTCAAGGTAAGTTTCCAAGGGGACAGAATTTGGTACCATCACAGATCATCCTGTGAGATAATAGGGCATTTGGGGAGAGCCATGTACTCCCTAAGGCCACATAAGGTCACCTTGAAACTAAGATGAATGCAGACAAGCAGCTGTGGAAATTACCCAATCGACAAAAGTCCCCTGAACAGGTACTCTTACCAGGTGCTGGGCAATGGGGGAATACAAAGGCATCAAGGGTCATTTCTGCCCTAGAGGAACCAAATTTAAACTAAAGCATAACGACACAGTCATTTCTATTTACATTTGGGATCTGCTAACATAGCCTTCCTTTTATTTGCTTTTACACATTGATAGGGAATGCTTCAAGCAGTGTAGGAACTGGTAGGGAATAGGGGTTGGGGGTGAGGGAGGTTAAGACAGGGGACTTGGAAGTCCCACCCCAAGAGAAATGATCCACCCCACGTGAATGCCAAGTTAACGCAGTAACAGTGAATTGCAAAATAAAGCCTAGAAGTGGATCTGCCCTCACCACGAAATGGTTACATAAAACCACCTTAGCCCCATCATTGGAGGGATTTAAAGGTAGAACTGAGTGGTGATTTCTAGAAGTTGCAGAGAAAATGTACTCATCAGGTAGTGGCATGAGTTTTTTCTTTTCCCCCTCCACAGCGTCCCCAATTCTTTGCTCTCCTCTATTCCACCATAATATAAATGGGCCCCTTGCATTCATTCATTCATAAAAATTAAGTGATGACCAGGAGGGAACCCACCACTCAACAGAAGAATTAAAACACTACTTCCATCTCACACCACCTAGCCTTTCTCTCATAGTCTCACGCTGTTTCCAACTTTCTTTTTCATGAAATCTTACCCAAAATGGGTGCAAGCACAGTTTAGGCTTTCACTGTGGGGAGCTCTCTGATTCTCCCCATTCAAAAACCTGAGCTGGGGGTACCTGGGGGGCTCAGTCGGTTAACCGTCTGACTTTGACTCAGGTCATGATCTCACAGTTTGTGGGGTTGAGCCCCGTGTCGGGCTCTGCTGACAGCTCAGAGCCTGGAGCCTGCTTCGGATTCCGTGTCTCCCTCTCTCTCTGCCCCTCCCCCACTTGCGCTCTGTCTCTCCCTCTCAAAAATAAACAAACATTAAAAAAAAATTAAAAAACATGAGCTAGTTCAGTGCTCCCCAGCGTACGGTCCCCAGACAAGGGGCCAGTCTGTCACCTGTGTTATTACTGGTCATGAAGAAATACGCTTGAGTCAGAATGTGAATGGACTATCACTCAGGATACCTGTTTACTTAACACTTTTTTCACAGCAAGACCTTCTCCGGGAAGAAAGCAGGCTGTTGGTCTGCCGGGCGACACAAGCTCATCATATCCCGGCTCTCTGAGAAGCACCCGACTGGCTGATGTCTAAGGTCCACTTCTCAGAGCCAAGAGTCTACAATCGCGGAGAGCCGTGAGGCTAACTGGTGCGCCTATGGACAAGTGCCCTTCCGCGAGAGCAGGGGATACTGACCAGTACAGTTGGCTTCATCGGACCAGTCTCTGCAGTCGTTGTCCCCGTCACACACCCAGGAGGAGCGGATGCACATGCCCGAGCTGCAGTTGTACTCGTCACTCCGGCACTGGTGCATTTCTGCAGGTGAGACCACAGACACAGAGCTGTGTGAACAAGGCCTTGCCCGTAACTCTGCTCTGGCATCAGAGCGCCTAAGGGTTAGGGGTGCACCCATTATCCGCATTATCCCCGAGGATCCAGACACAGCATGGACCCGAACCAGGGATTTCAAGGTCGCTGGGGGTGTAGTCCACCTAGCGTGCTGCAAATGGGGTACAGTTGTCCAGAGATACCCTTGCCGCCGGTTACCTTGAGGCAAGAATAGCGTTATCCATTTACCTCGGTGCACTCTGCAAATACTACCACCGTCTGACTGCTGCGATGGGAAGGGGAGAAGGGGGCAATGCACAAGCTGCCCAGAAAGCAGAATTCTTAAGAAACAGAAGCCTCCTGGCATCAGCGTCTGTGGTTTCAGAAAGAGGGTAACGAGAGCTTCGAGTGGGCTGGTGAGTACGAGAAGCTCAGATTGGGGAAAATGAGGTCAGTGCTGAGCTCCCACGACACAGGAAACTGGGGACTTTCTGTGGGCAGAGCTCTGGGGGTGTTGGCTGGTGGGCCATCTCTAGAAAGGTAAAGTCCTGAGGCAAACGGACTCGTGTAGCCTGATCAAGACTTGCAAGCAGGCTCCCTGGCAACACCATTTACTGGTCCTGGGACTGTCCTTTAATACAGAACTTTCACATGGAATTAAAAAAAAAAATTTAATTTAGTTTTTTGAGAGAAACAGAGAATGAACGAGGAAGGAGCAAAGAGTGAGGGAGAGACAGAATCCCAAGCAGACCCTGTGCTGTCCGAGTGGAGCCCAGTACGGGGCTCGAACCCCCGAACCATGAGATCATGACCTGAGCTGAAACCAAGAGTCAGATGCTTCACCGACTGAACCACCCAGGTGTCCCTCAAATGGAATTTTCAAGATTCTATGTGGGAGAGTCTGGGGGGCTCAGTTGGTGAAGGGTCTGACTGCGGCTCAGGTCATGATCTCACAGTTTGTGAGTTTGAGTCCTACATCGGGCTCTGTGCTGACAGCTCAGAGCCTGGGGCCTGCTTCCGATTCTGTGTCTCCCTCTCTTTCAAAAATAAATAAACATGTAAAAAAAAAAAAAAGATTCTATGAAAACAGGGGTAGCCAAGTCTGGGGCCCAGGGTGCCTTTCTGAGTTGCCTCATTCAGGAGACAAGTTAAGGGTGAAGTTGGGGACTCAGATATTTCTGAGGACACATGAAGAGGGCCCGGCATGGGGGTGTCAGGGACTAAAACCCCGGGATGGACACTGGTGTGAACAGGCTCGTGAAGGGTGAGTCTGGCCACCAAATGGTCAAACGTGTGCCCAATGAGTAACACCAGCAGAGTCTCCTCCTACCAGGCTGTGCCATTCACCCGTCCGCAGGCGCTGAGGAGGAGATAGGAGGAATGCACTAGATTCCAAAGAATGCTTTCCAGAACTTTCTATTTTCACAAAGATGAGAGAAAATGATGTGATCCCCCCCAAAAATTCCCCAGAGAGCCAGGCTAGCATTTCCCCTGCTCCCCTCATTTCAGTGCCTGGAAACAAACTGCCTGCTGGTGAAAACAGCATGCCCCATCTATAAGCACACACACAGCCTGCCCCGTGGGTGGGCAGAGAGAGCCGGTGCAGCCACAGCTACTCAGCACAATGTCCAGGGTCAGCGTCTGGCCTCCGTTCTCATTTCCCTTTCACAGTCAGGATCCCTCCAATCTGGTGCACTATGCACACTATGTACAGTTTCCCCCTTGCACAGTCAGCAACACTGAGTTGGGTACCAGAGCCATTCACTAAGATGGGCCTCGTGAACTGGGCAGGGCCATGCCGGGCAGCAGCTACGGGGGTGGGAAACAAAGCTCCAGGTTCCTACTCTGACACAAATAGTGTCATCTGAATTAAGTCCCTTCGGTCATTTAATTGGAAACCAAAGGACTTGAACTAGAGAACTTATCACTCCTTGCAATTCCAACACATTGTTTTTTCTACACGTAAAAATTTCCATTCAGGAAACAGATGTTCCAACAACATTTGTACCATCTGCTGGGCTTCTAACACAGTTTACTGCATTAGACTGGTTTTAAAAAATGTTCACGGGGCGCCTGGGTGGCTTAGTCGGTTAAGCGTCCGACTTTCGCTTAGGTCATGATCTCGCGGTTCGTGGGTTCGAGCCCCGCTTCGGGCCCTGTGCTGACTGCCAGCTCGGAGCCTGGAGCCTGTTTCAGTCTGTGACTCCCTCTCTCTCTGACCCTCCCCTGCTCACGCTGTCTCTCTCTCTCTCCTAGAAATAAATAAAAAACATTAAAAAAAAATTTAAAAAATGTTCACAAAGTGGGGCACATGGTGGCTCAGTCGATTAAGCAGCTGACTTTAGCTCAGGTCATGATCTTGCAGCCTGTGAGTTCGAGCCCCACGTCAGGCTCTGTGCTCAAGCTTGGAGCCTGCTTTGGATTCAGTGTGTGTGTCTCTCTCTCACTCGTTCTCTCAAAAAATTAATAAACATTAAAAAATTTTTTTTAAAAATGTTCACAAAGCTATAGATCTGTGTGTCTGGGAGGTTAATTTCACAGCCACCCAGATGTGCAGGCAGTCTGTTCCACATACAGCTGTTAAGAACCACCTAAAGTCATTTAGAAATCTTCCTCACAATCACATTCATGCTCACAGCACCTATGCCAGGTCAAGCAGGGTCTGTTATTTTTTGAACCAATCATCCCTACCATGGTGGTCATGCAGCTGGCGGTCATAAGCCCAGAGATGCTTTCAGAAATCCTGCATCAGGGCACCTGGGTGGCATAGTCGGTTAAGCATCTGACTCTTGATCTCAGCTCAGGTCATAATCTCACAGTTCATGAGTATGAGCCCCACATTAGGCTCTGTGTTGATGGCACAGAGCCTGCTTGGGATTCTGCATCTCCCTCTCTCTGTCCCTACCCTGTTTCCCCGCACACACTCTCTCTCTCAAAATAAATAAACAAAACAAAACGACAACAACAAAGAAATCTTGCACCTGCAACCCACAACAGCCCAGGGAGCAAGGGTGTCACTCTGCTCAGGAACAGGGTCCTGGACACCATGCTCCCTTACCACAGTGACTTTCATCGCTATTGTCTCCACAGTCGTCCTCAAGGTCACATTTGTAGGAGAGGGGGATGCAGGTCCCGGACTCCTGGCAGCGGAACTGGGTGTCCAGGTCACAAATGGTAGTAGCTAAAATGGGAGAGACAACATACTTGTTAGGAACGATTAATTCCCCCTGCAAAATACAAACATTCCCCTGGGGAAAAAAACCAAAAAACAAAACAACAACAAAAAAAAAACAAAAAGAAAAAGAAGCAGACTTTAACTGCAGCAACAGAGATAAAAAAAAAAAAAAACATTCACATGAGAACCTGAAATTTACAACCAAGGGAGATTACAGCATATCTTTCTGTGGACACCTTCCAGATGGGAATCGGGCTGGGAAAGTGAGAAACCACCATCCAGCCTGGGTGAGGCAGACCGATGGGCTGGACTACCTCCTATGATCCACTCCAACACGGAGCGGTCTTCCTAAATAAGTGGCAGAAATACCTGCATCTTGGAAAACTACCATTAAGAAGCCTGATTTCACACAGGAAGCTGGTGCCTCCTTGCGTCAGATGACATGGGGAGTGATGGGCAAGGATTCTGCAGTGGGCACGTGGTCTCTGCTGCCAGGCTTCAAATCCTGGCTCTGTCTCTGCCTCAGCAATTAATTTTAACTGCCTTCAGCCCATTTCCTGCTCAGCAAGAGGAGGATAAGGTAATGGGGCCGAATGCTGTGATGACAGAAAGACCAGATACGGATCTCTCCGTTCTGTTACCTACCACTTACTTATGTAACCTAACTGCCTGTGCCTCCTCCGTGTTCTCCCCAACTCCTACCATGTGGCAGGCTTACAAAGGTAAGTAACAAAACAGGTTTGGGACCAGGGCCATTAGCTCTGCTGTAAAACAGAAGAGGCTCCCAACAAACATCACATCTCTTCTTTGTCCTTCCTTTGCCCTACTGCATCAGGATGAGTACAGAAGGAGATTCCTCCCTTTTTCTGTACACAGGAATCATTTGAAGGTGAGCACAGCCCCTTGACTCCAGCCAAAGGCCCTCTAGGAAAGGCTTTGGGAGGAAGGTTGCTCTCAGAAGCAGCTGACACATAAGGTAAGATGTGACCGAACAGGATCCTGGGGTGCAAGACGAAATGGAGTGCCATGGAATAAAAAGACAACGCTGCAGTTAGACGTCCCCGGCAGCTCTTATTTGAGGCTCCATTTCTTCTCTGTAATTGAGCTCATGGTGGGAGACAGAGGATGAATGCAAAAATGACAAGGCTGCAGGGGATTCATGTCAAAACCCAGAGCACCTGACAGCTACCCAGCGCAGGAATGTGTGCATGTGGGAGGGAGACAAAGTACAAGATGCCTCCCCCCCACACCCCTTCCCTTCCCTAGCAGCTGAGGCGGGATGCTGTGTTTAACTTCCCAGTGGTGTCCAGCCACAGTCTGCCCCTTTCCTGCAGCCCTGCCTGCGGCCAGGGCGCCTCTGCCATCAGGGTAAACATGGCTCTCCTCCTCCTTGATATGGGAGCCACTCTCTTGGGTCCTCCAGCACCCCTCTCCTCTGCCACATCTGACTAGCTGGGACTTGGGCCAAGTGGAATGAACAGAGAGGGGGCAGAGCAGCAAGTCCCATGGTCCCTGGAAGGTGAATCCCAGCTGATGATGACACCATCGCAGGGTGGGTTCAGAGCCGCTGCCTACTTGACCCAGAGGAGAAGCGAGAGGTCTCTAGAAGTCTGTGAGGCCAGCGGGGAGGGCGTCAGTCCTGAATATGGAGGTCCTTGTCTCCTAACCCTGAACCAGCACAAGATCCCGGCGTATCCCTCTAGTAGACACCAAGGCCCAGGGTAGAATCCCTATCACTGGACACAGGGTCGTCTAACATGAATCTCCCTGCTTCCACCAAGCCTAACCATTTCTTGGCAATCTCCATGCAACATGTTAATTCTAAGACACGTCTCCTCTCATACCCGATTGTGTAATAAAGTCCTTTCCAGGGTAGGCTTCACTGTTGTTCAGGTTTACTGTTTATAAGGAGCTTTGGCTCTTCCCCCACAGACACCACACCTTGAGACTCTGGTAGTAAAGCAAAGAAAAAACACAGACAGCCTAATAGTTTCCCAAGTCTGCCATTCAGGAAGCTTTCTTCCCTGTGTGTGAAGGGCGGCCACTGAAACGGAGGAAAAAATTGTTTAGAAAAGGTTTAGTAAATAACCTCCAATGAGCCAACAAGGGCAATACATAGCTTTGTCAGTGAGTTGACTGCTTCTGAGGTTACTTTCTGGATGGAACGGCATGGGAATGTGGCATAGCCTCCGCAGGTGGCTAAGTACTGTCTTCCAGAGGCCAGATGAGCACCTGGAGCCAAGAAGCATCCACTGACCTGTTCTTACAGCACAAAATGGCAAATGAGCTTCTGGATCTCCAATGGGGAAATATTTGAAAGAGAAGCCTTCAGACTGGTTTCTGGGTTCCCTACCCCTGGTCTGTCTCTGCTCCAATGCATTCTCCAACCTTATCTTTCCAAGACAAAAACCTTATCATGTAATTTCAGTGGTTCCCAACTGCGCGTCTAGTAAAGTCCACAGGCGCTTGCAGCTCTGGGGACCATCACTAGGCCAACTCTTCACTCCTATCACCGATGCTTCAGGCCACGCGCTCTGACCTCTGGGCTTTCAGACATGCTGTTCTCTTGCCTACCACGATGTTCCTTCCATCTGTGTTTGGTTCACCTCTACTGACCCTTCCTCAGGGCTCTCCATAAATACGTATCCAAGTTTGATTTGTGTGCCCTTCCTGGATGCACATGGCACTTCCCCATGATAGCCCTCTTTGCCTCTACTGTACCTGCCTCTCTAGTTTTCCAACTCTCCTACAGACTGTAAACTCCACATCCACCTGATCACCTGATATCCCCAGGCCAAACTCAGAGCCCAGCACAAAGGAGGCCTCAACAAATCCCTGCTGTGTGAATGTATGAATATACTACTCACTGTCAGAGAGCAAAGCTCCTGCTTACAAGATAATGTTGAAACTATGAAAAATTAAAAATGGGCAGCAAATAAATTACCCATGGTACGTAGTTATATGTTTGTCTTTAAACCCTGCGCAACAGAATCATATATTTTGTTGTTACTCTTAGAAAGTATGCACTCCGAAGATGATGTTTCCAGGCACACCTAGCAAGGGTCCCATATTTCAAACCAAAGCAGGCATCCTCAATCAATTAAGAAGATCCCTCTAGAACCTGGCCGGCAGCTGACCTCCGCTGACTGGAGGGGCATACAAAGTAAAACCTGGTTCAGATCTCTGAAAAGGCTGAACGTTGAATTTATGTATCAAAGAATGTCGCCTGGTCAACAGATTTATCGCAGTGGTAGGGCCACAGCTACAGCCTGGGTTGCGAGACTCCGCAGACAACCCAGTTTTGGCCACAGGATGCTTCCTGGTCAACCCCTTGCAATGGGCAGCTCCCTCACCTGTGGGGGTTGGGTTTTAAATAAGAAGCTATATCTCAGTGGGGGCGGAGACATGTTTTTCTCTGTTCTTGAAGCCCCATCAGCCTCATCAGCCTAAACGGGCATCGCCAATCACAAGGGGCCACCAGCCAGCACCGTAGACGGCAGGCCCTGATCCGAGAGGAGCCGACCAGCCTTGCCGGTAACTGAAAACGTGTAACCTCCCCGGATGCCTGGCCCAAGCCGGAAGACTCACGGCAGTTTCTCTCATCGCTCATGTCGCCACAGTCGTTGTCAAAGTCACACCACCAAATGCTGTTGATGCAGTTCCCGTTGCTGCAGCGGTACTGGTTACGGAGGCAGGTGTTCTCTGGCCGGCGGCGGGAGGCAGAGGAGGAAACGAAACCAATATTACTCTTACTGCTGGACCACAAGACTCCCTTGTGAGGTTCCATTTCTCTTCCTCAAAGAATATGCCTTAAAAGGTAAAGAGGGAGAGACGGGGTGCCAAGCTCACCTGCATTACAACAGGGGCCTCCTTATTTCCTCTTTCAATTACAACTAAGGGATAAGAGGCCAGCTGGAGAGGTGCTGGGGGTGGTTACAATAATAAAAAAGGACAGTCATGGTGCGGGTTGGGTCCGATGGGTAGATGGAGATCAGCCATCAACATTATAAAATCCTAATTATCCAAGGAACTGCTGAAGGGACTATGTCTACACAGTATGAAAATATACACAGTCGATATACATACAGTCCTATGTATTTTGTATATACTATTATATATATTCATAGACCTTTAATTTTTCAGTCAAGTAGGTACCAAAGGATATGTCATACTCTGAGGGTTTTTTTCTACCCATGACACACAGGGGGAAAAATGCATTGTTTGGTAAACTGAGTCAAGAACACATAATGACCAGCCTCTTGTTTGTATAACCAAAGGCATTCTAATGGAAAATATAGAAAAGTCTTTTCTTCTCCTCTTGGTTAACTTAGTGTTAACTTGTAACTTAGCATTAACTTTATTTCATTCTAAAACAGCTTTGTGGGGGGGAGGGGGGGTGGGCATGGAGGAGGACACTTGTGGGGATGAGCACTGAGTGTTATGTGGAAACTAATTTGACAATAAACTATTTGTAAAAAATAAAAATTAAAAATTAAAAAAATTAAATAAAATAAAATTAAAAAATAAATAAATAAAACAGCTTTAAGAGGATGTTGAGAGCCTGAAAGAGAATCTCCTGTGTCTAAGAAGGGAAGGGTCGTCTTTTTTCCATTTATATTTATTTTTTTTAAGTGTATTTACTTATTTTTAGAGAGAGGGAATGAAGAGGGTAGAGGCAGACAGAGAGACAGAGAGAGGGAGAGAGAGAATCCCAATCAGGTTCCATGCTATGAGTGCAGAGCCCGATGCGGGGCTCGAACTCACAAATTGTGACATCATGACCTGAGCTGAAACCAAGAGTTGGACGCTTAACCGAATGAGCCATCCGGGCGCCCCTCCATTTGTATTTCTTGTGGAAGAACGATGCCAAGGCCACTTTGTGTGTTCCCCTGCCCAGGACTAAGAGACTGCTGTGAGGAGGGAGGTCATGATTACTGAGCAAATGTAACCTTAGGAATGAAAAAAGCAGGGGTTCAGATGCTTCCTGGCAGGGTCCCTTTCCAGAAGTTCCCCTCACTGACTGGGGCTGAGACTGCAGAGGTGGTAAGGGTATAAATTAGACAGGAAAGAAAAATGAAAACAGTTTTTCGGAGGAAAAATTTTAGAACCTATGTATTCATGTTCAAAGAAAGAGGATCAGGCTGCTACAGCCAGTTGGTCATGGCATGAGGTAAAGATTTACGCCCTCTGCAACGTCATTCTGAGCATTCTGGACATTTCTGGGCTGGTGTTGGGAAGATGGGGCAGGGTGTGAGGAAGGGCTGATGGTGAGCTCAGATGAGCTGTGGAGGGTCCAACCGGTCCTTTCTCCAAGTCAGGTTTGGTCCAACTTACAGGAAGCAGGAGATGTTTAGAACCCAGATGTAGAGGATGGATGAGGGGAGTGAGGAAGAGGCAGAAGGAGACGGCACCTGGGTGGTTCAGTCGGATGAGCGTATGACTTCAGCTCAGGTCATAATCTCACAGTTCATGGGATCAAGCCCCAAGTCGGGCTGACCACTGTCAGCATGGAGCCTGCTTCAGATCTTCAGATCTCTTTCTGCCTCTTCCCCTCCGCCCCTCAAAAATAAATAAGCATTTAAAAAAACAGGCTTGGGGTGCCTGAGTGGCTTAGCTGGTTAAGCGTCTGACTTCAGCTCAGGTGCTGATCTCACGGTTCATGAGTTGGAGGCCCACACTGGGCTCTGCGCCAACAGTGCAGAGCCTGCTTGGGATTCTCACTCCCTCTTCTCTCCCTCTTTGCCCCTCCACACTTGCTCTTTCTCTCTCTATCTTAAAGTAAGTAAAAAACTTAATTTGTTTTTTAAAAAAGAGGCAGAAGGAGGCAAAGAGAGAACTCCCAATGAGGAATGAAGTACCCTGGGCCTCAGACCCTGAGCAGGGACATCTGTATGTATCTGGTGGATTTTATTCTTCCCCGCAGCATTTTCAATAACCCAACAATGTAGAGGAACAGACAGCACTGGGGGGGGGGGGTGCGCAGGGGAGAGAGAAGGAGGGCAGAGGGTAGAAAAGAAGAGGGACGCACCTTCTTTGACGCAGGTGCTGTTCTCCTGCCGATAACCCCGAGGACACTCGCACATCAGGTCCCCAGATGGGAGGACAGTGCTGGACACGCCCTCCGGACACCAGCAGCTCTTACCGTTGTCGGCCCGGGGCAGGCAGAGCAGGCTGCACGGCCGGGGCACACAGGCGTTGCTTCCTGGACAGAAGACAAGCAGCGGCCATGTCCAGGTTAAAAAACACCGAACGGGGTGGGGGGCGGGGGGGACAGACATCAACACAACCTCCTCGTGGTACAGACACAACCACTGGAAGCTCAGAATGAGAGAAAGGGGGAAGGGGCGAGTGCGGGGGCTCGGACCTCCCCAACACCAGTGCTCAGGGCCGGGCCCACATGGGGCTGGGCACCACTCAGGGCTGGGAACCATGCCGGGTCATCCGCTGTTCCTCCTGGGAATTTGGAATTGGGGAGATAGAAAATAACAGGGTAACTGGGGAGCCTGAACTGGGAGAAAAGTCACATAGTGTGGGTGTCAAAGGTGAGGCAGGGCAAAGCTGTGCAGAAACAGATCCCAGAGAGGCAGTCGGGAGGATACAGCAGACTTCCAGAGGGGAGGGGAAGGACCACACCAGGGCCCCATGGGGAGAAGGAAAGAGAGAGACAGAAGTGGTGGCTTTACCATTCCCCGCACCTGTCCCCACAAGGCTCACCTCTATTTCCTCCCTTTAGGTTCCTTACAACCTCCCTTTATGCTTTCATTAGGGCTTTTTACTTGAGTTAGCTTGAGTGGGTTTCTGCTCCTCTGATCCAAAACCCTTAATGAGAACATACACCTGAGGAATCAGAGGGCCCAGACAAACATCCGGGTCTCTGCTTCTCAATTCCCCTGCGCCGCAGTGCAGCGGCGTGCTGAATGAAGAGCCAACCACAGTGCCCATTAGCCTCAGTGCTTCCTGTCATGCAATAAATCCACACAAGGACTAGTTAATGTTGACCTATCCCTACTTCCAGTCTTTTCTCTGGTTCAGCTTTCCCCCAGGGAGTGCCAGATAAAAGTCCATAAAACCCTTCACTGCATTCTGGAGAAAGAACCTTTGTGGATGAACAGTGATGGAAGAGGGATTTTGCTACCCTCCACAACCTTCTAGGAGGAGGGGAGAGGATGCATACACCACTTGGTAAAAGCTGGAAACACGAAAAAACCCTGGATCAACATAAAAGCCACATGAATTACGAAATGCAAGTGCATTCTTTTGGCTGTGACTATTCAGCACTGAATTTGGGGGAAATAAACAAACACTCTGATAAAACTCAGCTGATGACAGTTCTTCAGTTGTGCCATCTCATGGACAGAGAAACCCACCACAATCACAACCAGGTAATCTGTTCCCATGTAGGAAGATTTTAGCTATGTTATTGCCTATACTGACCTGCAGGTTGGAAAACAGGTTCGTTAATGACAACTGGGATTGATACACTGGTGGTGATATACTCAGTAGCTTTGGAGATGCTGGCACTCCAGCAATGTTTAACTGGCACACACATAAAAGTCACAATGATACATCAACAGTGTTGTTTAGATGCTAAGGACCAGAGAGTACAGAGCATTGCCAAATACACGAAATACACATGTGCACAGAGGAGAATCCATATGATAATACACTCAACAGGGTTCTACAAACATTTAACCAACTCTGAAGGTAGACTTTCCACCACAGAAAAACCAGGTGACTAGAGCAGAAATGCCAGAGATCCGTTCACCCTGATTTGTTCCGTCAACAGAGACTGTTCCTTTTTTGAAATGTGTATGTTCTAGGCTTGAGGGAGGAACACAGAGCTGCTGCTAATGAAAAACAATTCCATAAGGATCTGGAACATGGTCTTCATATTCAAAGGACAACACAGCATTCAGTGTTCCAGGAAACGTAATGGTAAAAGAATATTGAAAAAACACTCAAGGATAGGGCGATGTCACGTGGGATGTGTCTATAAAATAACATGACTAACATTTTCACATGTGGAGCAGATGTTCCTACCCAAGGAAGCAAGAGTCAGAAGCACCAAACCAAAAATGGGGTCCTAATTTTTTTTTTTTAACTTTTATTCATTTTTGAGAGAGAGCGTGAGCAGGGGAGGGGCAGAGAGAGAGAAGGAGACACAGAAGCAGAAGCAGGCTCTAGGCTCTGAGCTGTCAGCACAGAGCCCAAGGCAGGGCTCGAACTCGTGAACCACAAGATCGTGACCTGAGCTGAAGTTGGATACTTAACCGACTGAGCCACTCAGGTGCCCCCAAAATGAGGTTCTAGGCAGAGATGTATATAGTCTGAGAGGCAGTGTCCAGAGGCAAACCCCAAACCAAGCAGACAGAGTCACTGACCCCAAGAGGTAGGCTGGGCAGGAGCACATGGGGTGCTACAGAGCCAAGCCCAGACAACATGGGAGTATTCAGTAGAATTCCACCAGAAAGTAGCCAGGGACTCTTTACACAGGAGGCCACAGTCTTGCCGGGGCAAGGCAGACAGTGTGAAGACTCTCGATCTGATGTAAAAAGTGGACAAAAGGCAGTTGTCATCTCCAAAGATGTCCTCTTTGAAGACCAAACAGACCTATGATGTCTTCATTGGGCAGATTCAGAACATAATCAGATTTCCTCTTTGGAAAATTCCTCCAGAACCAGTTTAGGAGACTGAAATGCTATTACCTTGCTTAAATCTCTATACGTTTGACAATTATCAAAATCAAATCCAGCCCAGAGAGTGTCTGCCCTCCCTATAGATATTTAAAAGCCTTAGCTTACTGAGACTTTGAAAGAGCATTCCAAGAGCTCCAAAGTATTTTAATACATTGCAAAATCAACGGAAAAATCAACAGCCTTGTAAAGTGAGCTCTTTAAGGAAAAAGCACTCTTTAAGAAGAATAAATTTCAGTAACACTACATAAAAGTCAATCAGGTATACATCAAGAAAGGCGTTTGTTTAAAACTAAATAACCCAAATGGACAAATGTTTTGAGTCAACAAAATTTTTATCACAAACAAGAATCAGTCAACATCTAGTACTTCCAGGGGAGCCTGGGTGACTCAATCAGTTAAGCATTTGATCTCGGCTCAGGTCATGATCTCACAGTTCATGAGTTTGAGGCCTGTGTCAGGCTCTTTGCTGACAGCTCAGAGCCTGGAGCCTACTTCAGAATCTGTGTCTCCCTCTCTCTCTGACCCTCCCCCACTCACACTCTGTATCTAAGAAATAAATAAATATTTAAAAAGTTAAAAAAAAACAAACATCTAGTACTTCCATATCATTGTCATATACCAGGGCACTGCTATTCCAACAACAGATGACAGAAGGAGCAGAGCCTAACAGTCTTGTTGAAGTCAAGCTGGGGAGCGAATTAGGCCATGATGCAAATTCTTACCACTTAAATATACATATGACATAGAAACACGAATCTGACTTTCACGGTCTTATCTACAAACTGACAATGTTACTAATACACAAGGATTTGGGGAAGGTTAACTGAGGCCATTCAAAAAGCACAAAGCACATTAGTGTGGTGCTGATAACACAGGAAACCCTTAATAAATGTAGGTTATTATCTCCATTATTATTTTACCCTCAGCTAACAGACAGTCCTCCATGTGTTAGGAACCAACAACAAAAATAATAAAGATTGACGAGCACCAGGGATCACGAACATGCAAAACATGGTCCCAAAAAGCAGCCAGGTGAGAGCAAGCAAGTTCAAGGCCAAGAGGCACCTGCAGCATACAGGCAGTGCTGACAGCCAGGTGCCATTTCAAAAGGGCTCATTTAACCTAAACCAGCCCGTCTGAGAGATCATGGACTTGTTTCTCTGGCCCTGTGTCTGTGGGCAGGAGGTCGGCTGCAAGGACCCTGCTTACACAAAGGAGGAAAAGGGAATCCCGAAGGCAAACGGAGGAAGGAGCAAAGAGACGGCAGTCACTGGTCCTGAGGCCCGAGTCTGTGTGCTGCTCACTGGCACACATCTCCTCCACCCAGATCCCAGCCAGACTCCCAGAATTACCCTGGACAGTTTAAATGAAGGGGGCTCATTGAGGCACAAAGGGGAAATCACGCCTAAGGCAAGGCTCGCAGATGTGTGTGCACAGCCCTGGTATACCACCTGTGCAAGTGCTTGGACTACAGCCCGTTCCCCAAACACCTCCCCCCCAGGACCTGGCTGTGACTGACATCAGCTGGAATGAAGCAAGCGGCCAGCTGAGACGAGGGAGGGCGGAGCTCAAGGGTCATATAATAGTCTGAGCACTGCCCTGTGCTCATAACACGTGCTTACAAGCACTTATTGAAAGGAAGACTTGCTTTCTGGACCAAGTGCTAATCCAGAGGAATGCTGACAACTCACTCGGCTGGCTAGCGGTGCCCATCAGTAAGGGTGGGGGTCCTCCATCGGACAAAGGCCCCGGGTTTCAGCCCCTGCAGCTGAGAAGCTGAGTCCCTCTTCTCTCCCTGTTTCAAACAGGCACCGCCTCCAAGAAGAGAGTGACCCTTCCGTTCTGTGGCATAACTGGAACGAAAGCCCAGCTCCTAAGCCAGCCAGGGACCTCTGAGAGAGCGAATTCACCTCTGAGATGCCATTCACTAATCTATGATCCATGGATCACAGTACCACCTCCGCCCACATCATGGGTCAGTTGCAAAGACAGAACAAGAGTACAGACTTATGTTTCCAGCATTCTTTCGGTTTTCTAAGGGTGCTCTCAATGTTGTCTCCACTGGTCTTCCCCAGATAACAATGGTATCTGTCACTGTATTATTTGCCTTTGACAATCTTCTCTTAGCACAGGGCCAGCCAGAACCCACTACACAATGTCAACATTCTAGTTCAAACCAGGAAACCTAGCAGTTTGTCAATAAAGGAGAGTCAGCAGACCCGGGATGCTATTTAATCCCGTTGAGATAGACAGGGTGCTTCTTAAAGGGACTATTCTTCCCTGAGCATCCTGCTCTCTTTCCTGGAGAGCCAACAGTACGGGGTGGCAAGCAGAAGGAAAAGGAAGGAAAGAAGGAAGGAGGCTTTCTGTTGAAGAGCCTCGGTCTCCAGGACCAGTGGGTCACAGGCACCAAGCAGCTCTTGAAGCCTCCGCCGACAATCTTTAAAGCAGCTACTGTCTCTATCCGCTGGCAGCGCTTCCCTTTCCACGATCTCTTTCAACAATACTGAGCCCTACGAAGTGCTAGGCAGTGGCAAAAGTGTGGAGGCCAAGAGGAAAAAAAAAAGGAGAGACATGATCGCCTCCTTCATGGGGCCTAAGAGTCGCAGGTGGGACGCATTCATTAATGCATCACACAATGACACGTAGCATCACGAGGGAGGCAGGGTGCTCAGTGAGCCACAGGTCATCTGGACAACCAGAGAACAAGACAGGACTCCCGTCAGGAGGCAGCAAGCGTCTGCACCCCCACCCCAGCACTGCGCCCTGTAAGGCCACGAGGCGGGGATTCAGTGCACGCCGGGGACTCTCGAGCTGCAACAGAAGCCACACCACCCATCAGTCAGAGGCCGAAGGCAGGGGAGGAAGGTCTAATTACCCACCAAGGATCACACACGAGGCAGGCAAACACATGCCGTCTTCCAGCTGTGTGTGTACCATTAGCAGAGAAATTAAGATGTCATTAGGAAGAAATTAAATAATGTGCATGTTGTCGTGACAATGAAGACGCAGGCTGCCAGATCCTGTCTGAGCGGAGATTACCAACGCCCAGCCCCTTTCTCAAGAGCTCCATGAGAGACAGACAGAGAGAGACTGAGCAGGGGACACAGCCTTACCAGTTGTCTTCCCCTTGTAGAAAATCTTCATGTCCATCAGCCCCGTGAGCTGGCTTGCCAGAATGGCCATCTGAGAGCCAGTGTATTTGGAGGCTCGGAAGATGCTGAGCTGTGACCAGTCGTCCCAGTAGATTTCATTCTGGAAGAGAAAACCTCTGCTCATTAGCGCAGCTCCTTGGGTCTCCCATTCTGGACCCTCCATGAGGGCAGGGGTTTGCCCATGCGGGGGACGCCTGACATTCACTGGTGAAGGACCGACCTCATCGAGATTCCACTGAAATGCAAGGCAGTGGTTTTATCCAAACTTCACCACCAATAAGCCACATAGAAGGTGTGGCCCGAAGGAGACTATCAGATAAGCCTTCAGGGGTGAGCACAGCCCAGGCCTTCGGTTCACAATCTGCTTCCCAGTGTCGGGAAAAGCCATCCATTCTGTTTTCTAGAGTCAAGCAGAAGCGACAGGCAACACAGGTGATACAGAGCTCATGTGAAGCCATCGGGGTTTGAGGAGGACAAGCCTCTCAAGAGATGAGGTCATTGAGCCCCAACTACTGGCACTGAAGGGCAAATGGAGGTTCTTTCTGTGAAACAACCTCAACTTTTAATCTTTTGAAATTCGAACAGTGAGCAGCCTGGACCCCTGGCAACTCTGGAATCCTCCCACATGCGCTCAAGAAAACAGTCTCAAATTGGGAATTGAGCCGGTCTTCTAGAAGTCAGACCAGCATCTCTGCAAAAGCAATAGCAGCTCTTTACCAGTTCTAACAGATGGCCCAAGCGGGGAGCAAAGGAGACCCCACCTTGAAGACAGCGATGGCATAGGGATGGGGGAGGTTGTCCAGGATGACGGAGCGCTGCTGGCCATCAAAGGTGATCCGCTCGATGCAGTCCAGGTAGGCATCTGTCCAGTAGATCCACTGGTCATCCACAGAGATGCCATTGGGCCATTTCACGTCCTCAGACACAAGACGCAGCACAGCGGAACCATCCATGTTGCTCCGATAAATTCCAGGCTTCAGCTCCCCCCAGTCAGTCCAGAACATCACCCTGGTCAAAACCGGGAAAGAACACACATCACATAGGACATGGGGATAGAGGGGGGTCAGATTCTACCCCAAAGATGTAAGGGGCTGATCGACAACCAGAAGGCCAGTGAGTTCAACATTATTATTATAATCTGTAATTGTCCTACTTAAAACCACTTAACTTCTTCACCCAGCAATTCCTTTATTGGAATTTATCTACAGATATAATCACGTTACGTGATGACAAAGTACAAAGATATTCATCATGGCACTGTTCTTACCAGCAAGTATATACATGTACCTGTACACATACATGTATTATATGTATATAGATACACACACACTTTTAAGTGGATACATATGTCTACACACCAAAATGTTAATCTACAGAGAAAGTTACAGATTGTGGTATACACAAAAGAGTATTATGAAGCCTGAAAAATCTGCGAGTGCTCACACGTAAACATCATCTTCAAACCACGTTGTTTTGAAAATGTGCATAACAGCAAATACCCTACAATTCTGTCTAACGTGTGAGCATGTACATGTGCTTTAAGGACATACAGTTGAATAGGAGTAAAGAAGAATTCTGAAAGATACACAAGAAACTGCTAATCACGATTACCCCTCGGAAGTGTGAGTGAGAAGGGTTATGAGTGAGAAAGGAGGAAACAAATAGTTTTCATTTCATAAGCCTCCATTCTCTTAACATTTTTAATCAAGCACCTATATATTTTTTATTTTAGAAAGCAGATCTAATTCTCCATCATAAATACCAGAAGGGTTGAAAACCTAATCCAGAACTTCCTTTTAGCTATGCTTCTTTAAGTTAAGAGATTAATAAACAGCACCTTTGCATTTCCCAGGTGCATACAAATTGTTAGTAAAAAAAAAAAAACCCACCCAAGCTGGGGGTGTGGGGACACAGGAAAGAGATGGAAGGGATCAAATGTTTGCATCATGCCTCAAACTCCAGGTAACGATCCTCATGATATCCAACCAGGCCTGACTATGATGGACAGACTTTCTTCCAATAATACCTTTTCTTGGAGAAACACCCCACAGATGTGAGACATCTGGGTGCAGGGATGCAGATGCTGGTGAACGAAAATGGAGTGGAGTTACCTGACCAGATGACTGAGCTCTGGTTTCAAAACTCAGAAGTCAACAGATCATTTCAACTACCATCATCAGACAGAAGTTTGCAGCCAACAGTTTGCATTTCCACGAGAATCTGTCTGCTGCGTCACCCGACACATGCGGACTTCCTCCGGGGCCACACTTACCCGTCTTGGGGCAGGAGGACCAGGGCCCTGGGCCGATCAAGCACAGAGGAGTTGACAATCGTGAGTCGGAAGTCACCATCTGGATTAGCTACCTGACAAAGAAAAGGGGGTGGGAGCCGTGGGTGGAAGGCCAAGGTGGACGGGAGCTCCTTGAAAGGCCCACGTCACAGTTTCCTGTGGGGCCGTTGCCTACAGACACGCGACCTCTCGACTGCCTGATTCCCCTGCAGGCGCATCTGGAAAACCCGCCCTGATGTGGGGTCTGAATGAGCTGTTCCCTCCTCTGGCTCACGGGACAATTCTCACATGGTCTGACAGGAGAGCCACACTGTCATCTGTGCCGCAGGTCTGGGGCGTGATGAACTGCACAAAGTAACCCACCTACGTCACTCCAGGCTCCAAAGCCACCAGTAGCTCCTACACTGTCCACAAAACAAACTGTCAATGTCCCTGCCTCATGATTAAGAGTCTCCACAGGGGCGCCTGGGTGGCTCAGTCAGTTCAGCGTCTGACTTTGGCTCAGGTCATGATCTCGAGGTTCATGAGTTTGAGCCTCGCGTCCGGCTCTGTGCTGACAGCTCAGAGCCTGGAGTCTGCTTCAGAGTCTGCATCTCCGTCTTTCTCTTCCCCTTCCCTGCTCGTGTTCGGTCTCTGTCTCTCAAAAACTGAATAAATGTTAGAAAAATTTTCCATTTTTAAAAAAGAGTCTCTACAGACTGTTCATTCTCTGCCCTCCATATTCTGTCTCCTCCACTTCAGCCCCTACAACTTTGGTGAGGCTGGCCTTCTCATGGGTCTCCAGGCCTGAGGTACTCCTCCTCCTCATCTGTTCTCACTGTGTCCCCTCCTGGGCCTCTCCTCTGCTCCATAATCAAATCGTGTCTTTCCTTCACATCTCACCTCCAGGCCCAGCTCCTCAGCTTAACTCCTCTGACCTGCCTTGATCAACGAGCATCAGCACTTCTTGCTGGGGACTCACCTCACCATTCTGCACAAACGGAACCTGGGCTGTACGCTGTGAGAGTGTGGGCACTTAGGCTGCACTGTGTCCTTCCAGCACCTGGCAAAGTGCTGACCACACACAATTAAAGGAGAGAAACAGCAACAGCAACACACTACTCATTATGGACCAGGCACCGGGCAGCTTCTCCTTCGCTTCCCCCAGCTGCAATGTGGGGTGGGCGTCAATCACCGTGTCCTCAGGGCTCGGCTCAGGTGTCACATCCTCAAGGACTTCCTGTCCACCTCATGTCATGCTGCCTGACTGTGCAGTCACACGATTGTACCATGCCCTCCACCCCTGGACCTTCTCTGAAGGATGCATCGCTGACGGAACTGACAGACTTCTTTCCTCATTAGTTTGCTGCCTCCACTAACATTTAATCTCTGTCACGACAGGAACTCGTGCATCTCGCCAACTGCTGTCTCTTCGCCACCTCAAACCATCCCTGGCACATAAGCACGTGAGAAAAAGCACCCGTCAAACCACTGAGTGGATAAATGATGAAGAAACTGAAGCTTGGGTGGATAAAAAACTTGCCCAAGGGACTCAGCTTCCAGAATAAAGACTGAACCCAGGTCTGGCTCTTGGCTTTGTGGCTTTCGTCTTACAACTTCTCTCAACTCTCTAGGCCTCCCTACCTCTCCTGCACTTCTCATACCACCCACACGCCAGGCCTCCATGTCGTCAGTACAAAGAAGGGCGGGGACGATGGGTTCAGCAGTGACGTCCAGGAGTTGATTGTGACTTTGGTGTTGTAGAGGCCATTTCTGACCCTCGTGTAGCCTTGGGTAGCTAGGGTGCAGACAGGTAAAATGGGATAAGAATACCTACTTAGTTGGGGTGCCTGGGTGGCTCAGTCAGTTAAGCGTCTGACTTCGGCTCAGGTCATGATCTCACTGCTCATGAGTTTGAGCCCTGCATTGGGCTCTGTGATGACAGCTTGCACCCTGAAACCTGGAGTCTGGAGCCTGCTTCCAATTCTGTCTCTGTCTCTCTGCCCCTCCCCTACTCATACTCTGTCTGTCTCTGTCTCTCAAATATAAATAAAACATTTTAAAAAAGTCCACTCTTAACAGGATTGTTGTGAAAAGTAAATCACATAATTCACGCAAAGTGGTTTCAGCGGGGCTTGGCACATGGGAAGTCCTCATTGTCTTTAATAATGACAGTGGTGATCGTGATTGAGACACCGTCTTTATGACCCCAGTTGACTGCAATCATACTAGAGCATTGATAATACAGCACTATAATAATGCTCTGGTGTGCTTGTGATGATCACTGTGGTTACTACCACAGGCTGCTGCTAGCCAAAACAGAACCATTCAGGGCAGCTTAATGAAATTTCTGTCTGATGGGTTTAGGCATTCCCATGTGGGAATCTTCATGGCAAAGAACGAGAATTCTGAAACCATTCCCCTTTTCTTCCCTTTCCAGAGGCTCAGCTGGTCCATTCTCTGGAATTCTCAAGGAATTTCCAGACAAGTCGGACACACTGGCTCCCACCTCGGTGTCAAATGTGGCCTCAGGCTCGGGTGCGGGCCCGCCTCTGGCTAGCTTAAATATGGACAGCATGGGACACACATACCTCAATCTTCTTAAAGCCAGAATCCACCCAGTACAGTAACTGGCTGAGGGGTTCAAATGCCAAGGCTTCTACGGTCTCCAGGCCGGAATTGATGATCACCTCTTGCCCTGTACTCCCGTTCAAGCAGAGGCGCTGAAGAGAGAACAGAACAAAGGCTGTGAAATGCTCAGAGGGCCTCGCGCCAACTCAGTCCCACGGATGGTAACTGGCTTGACCGGCGAGGGATGCGATGTTTTAGATGAGTAAACTTTCCACATGAGCGAAGCCAGTTTTCAATAAAAGTTTTCTAAAATATATTACAGCTTCCTGTTTCAAGCAGAATAGCTAAACACAGTGTAATCATCTGTATTACTCTGCATTATTCTTATGAACGTTGGTTACTGAACTGTGCAGGTATCACAGTAACGAGGTCGGAGATTACTGAGAAGCAGGATTCTGTTTGCTTTTAAAATAAATGAAACCAGACCGCTGTTAGTTTTGAGTTCTTGTGTCAGCTTTCAGAGGCTCTTGGCCAAATGGTGCTCTTGTTGCGATGGCTACACTCACCAGTCACTGCCAGTGTCCATCCCCCACACCACCCCCCGCCCCCAAAAACCCGGGCACTGTAAAATTGGATTGGAAGTCCTGATAAAACTTGTTAGAATTGCTTTTCTACAAAGGATTCAGGGGCACCTGGGTGGCTCAGTCGGTTAAGCGTCCGACTTCGGCTCAGGTCATGAACTCCCAGTTCGTGGGTTTGAGCCCCGCATCAGGCTCTGTGCTGATAGCCAGCTCAGAGCCTGGAGCCTGTCTTCAGAGTCTGTGTCTCCCTCTCTCTCTGCTCCTCCCCTGCTCACACTGTCTCTGTCTCTCAAAAATAAATTAAATAATTAAATAAATAAAAAATAAAAAGGATTCACTAGGCAATGAATAAAGATCAAATAGCTGTCCTTTAAAATGCATGGGTCTGAGTATATGGCTATCGATCTGGCCTGTGTGGGGATCTTTACAGCTCACTTCCTGGTTCTGGGCTGTGTTTAGAATAGCTGAAGTGGATAACTACGTGGACTGTGGAGAAGTCAAGTGGTACTGGATCTTGGCTTCGGCAGAAGGATGCTTCCTACACTCCTAGTCCTAAAATCTTCCCAGTAGGAAAAGTAAGGCCTCCCTTACAAGGAAGATTGCAGACTTGGGCTCCCTCTGTCCTTCCTATGAGGACAGAAGTAGGCAGGGTGAGAAAATACTCGAAGAGAAGACTGAAATTTTCATCAGTCGGCTCTGAAAGGAGTGACCAGTTAAACCCTCTAATAACCGTTTCTAATACATGGGCCATTGGGAAAGAGGCTTATCAGGCCTGGCTGATCACGAGGCATAGCCCCCATTAGCACTCCAAGGGTTGACGCACCTGGATGATGTCCAAGGCCAGGTCAGACCAATATAAGCAGTTCTGCTCGTAGTCAAAGTCCAGGGCCACGGCCGCCCGCAAGCCAGTGAGAGGTAGCTGCTCAGTGACTCCCGAGGCCAGGTCATATCGGTGGATGGACTTACGCATGGCGTACAGGATGAACTCGTTCTCCTCTGCATAGACACACAAAGCAACAGAGTGGGTAGGCCTGCAGGGTGCTGAGGGGGTCCCAGCTCATCTGCCCTGTTTTCCTCTCACACATAAATCTCAGACCCACTGGCCACATGGCATGGATCCAGTGGCAGAGCATAGGGATCAAGATGCGTAAAACGGAATCGCCTTTCCGCCTTGGGCAAGTTACATCCACCCCTCTAAACCTATGTTCTTGTCTGCAAATTGTATTCCTTGTTGCACTGCCTCTTTTTTTTAATCCAGATGCCCAAGCAGGCGTGCTTGAACATCCACACTTCCAAGCTCCGCTTCTAGAAGGCTTTAGAGTCCCGCATGACAAAATAATGACCCCACACCTGCTCTGCCTCGTCATATGACTGTATCACATGGCACCATAATCGTGTTGACGGGAGACCCCTCATCACTGAGACCCGAGGATAATCTGATTGTTCACCCATCAGACATTATTCACAATGACGTGCAGCAATTACATCAACCTACTGTATCTTCAAAACAGTAATAATACATTTGTTGTTGAATACGTACAAAATGTCTCACAACACAACCCTCCTGAAGACTCTATTTCTACTTAACAAATACTTATATGACGTACATACTAGGTGCCAGGTTTTGTTTCATGGGCATAACAACTGCCTAATGGGAGAGCGGCTATTAACTCAGTTTTACAAATGAGAAAACTGACAGCACAGAGGTGAACGCACTCTGGGTTACACAACTCAGACGTGGAAGAACCAAGCCTTGAACTTGGGCTGTCTGGATCCAAGATCCATATTTTACCCACTACACAATGCTGTCTCTTACAATGAAAATGCCAACATTGTCGTTTATTAAGATGCAGAAATAGAGGCCCAGAGGCCCAGACTTAATGTCAGACAATGAGTAACTGGAAGAGCTAGGACTCTCTCTCTCTCTTCCACTTAGGGAACAGCCCAGAAAATATTTAGATTCTTCCACAGCAATGGACATGAGCAACACACCCCCATCCACATCTTATGCGTCCACTTGGACAGTATGTTGCATACGGGACCAAGATCTGAATTCCTCTGCTGCAGGCCTGCAGACTGACTGCTTTTCTGTTCTCTCTGACTCCCTTCCTTCAGAGAGTTCATGTGTACTAGCTGCCCGCTTCACGGGTACCAAAGGCTTCAATGTAGATAGATAATGCACCCAAAACAAGACATCTAGCTACAGTTTTTTAAAAGATTTTTTATTTATTTTGAGAGTGCACAAGCAGGGAAGGGGCAGAGAGAGACGGAGAAAGAAAATCCCAACCAGGCTCCACACTGCCAGCACAAAGCCCAACACAGGGCTCGATCTCACGAACCTTTGAGATCATGACCTGAGCCAAAATCAAGCGTCAACGTTTAACAGACTGAGCCACCCAGGCGCCCCTACGTACAATTCTTAACAAAGGTAAGTTTGGTCTCATTTTACTTCAAAAATATCTAAGCCACCACCACATGATAACAAATCTCTTCTCGATTTTGAGGAAAGCTTCCCACTATAATTCCCAGTTAAGGGGGCCGTTAAGACAAAAACTGCCAAGCCCATACGTGACAGGGAAATCAAGGACTCATCGAAGCTGCCACAGAGAGTCGTGGAGGACATGTTCAAGCAGCAAGCCTTCCACACTGACTCTCCAACATCTGCAAAACCCATGCTGGGGCTTTGGTTTTCCTTCTAACCAGCATCAGCTGGTTTACGGCAAAGACGGAGTCCAGAAAGACTTGCCTTAGGATTAGGCGCAGAGGAACATTTCACATTTTTGTGTTCAACACTCAGGAAAGGAACAGAATACTTGGCCAATCCCAGCCTAGGCAGAGCCTAGACATCTATGTTATTACAGTCATCATAAAGGAAGAAAAACAACTTCATTTTTAAAAATGATGCCCAGGGGCGCCTGGGTGGCTCCGTCAGCTAAGGGTCCAACTTGAGCTCAGGTCATGATCTCACGGCCTGTGGGCTCAAGCCCTGTGTGGGGCTCTGCGCTGACAGCTCAGAGCCTGGAGCCTGCTTCAGATTCTGTTTCCTTCTCTCTCTGCCCCTCCCCCACTCATACTCTCTCTCTCAAAAATAAATAAACGTTAAAAAAAAAATGATGCCCAGATCACCTCATCTTTACAAAGATGCTGTGACTCCCATCAGCCCTAGGAAACCAACCCTCCCTCTCCTGGTACGCCCTGCCTTCTGTGTCATGCATCTTTTTCTTTTTTCCTACAAATGTGCTCTTTCTACATTGGTCCCTATTCTATTTTCTCCTCCCAGCAAAGAAAACCGCTCCCTTACCGGTTTAGATGGTTTTACACAAACTGTTTTGTCCCTCACAGAATCGTCTTCAGAAATGTTTATGATAAAAGCGGGCACTCCAGCCCTGAAGAGCAATCACTCAAACCCCACTAACCCACACCCTCCTTGATAACAGCTCTTGTGAGGAGCATATTTGAATATTATCTGCTCATTTGCGGGGATCTGCTGAAGCCGTGTTCTTTTGAAGTCTCCACAGTGAGGGATGTTAATTACTCTGGTAATGATGAAGATTAAATTAAGGGACTAATGAGCTTAGCAGGAAAAACACCCGGGCAAGCAGGCAAGTGGTGAGCGATGGTGGGGGTGGGGGAGGGGGAGGGGGGGTGTCATCTGCCCTGCCTGCGGAGGGCCACACACTTCTTGTGATTCAGTGGGGCACTGAGGGCTGTCCCAGCAGACACCGCCGCCGCCGCCGCCACCACCACCACAGGGAGAAGCAGCCCCAACCATCTACCTTCCCCAAGAAGTAAGAGCAGGAAGAAGGATGCACGGGGAATAAGGAAGCCCTAGACAAACAAGAACTAGAAACAGAGGAGGGAAGGGAAGATGCTGAGAGATGAACTCTGCGAGAGGATCATCGTTTCATGCCTGGGCTGCGAATACCACCACCTGTGCCATCGCTACTCAGTCAACTTCAAGCACGTTTGGACCACCCTGTCCCCTTACAGCACGTACACTCACTCCGCAGAATGTCTTCCTAATGAGCACGCATGACGGTCACCTAAAATAATGCAAATGACACTCTCTCGCCACTTGGGCGATGTCCCAGGAAGAGCATGGGGCTTAGTTAGGAGTCTGAATTTGAACTTTGTCCCTTACCCGATGTGTGACCTTAAACAGGTCGATTAATCCTCTCCTCTGAACATGCTTCCTTATTTAAAAAAAAAAAAAAAAAAAGATGGAGATCATGGTAATATCTGCTTCACTGGGTAGTGGTAAGGATTAAAATGACAACACGTGGAAAAGTATATTACGTGTGAAATTCCATTAAAGTATTCGTTTTAATTAGTATTGTAAAAATTAAGACAGACCACTTAGCTCATTATGTTCAATTCTGACAGACCAAGGAACACAGAAAAGGCCCCTGCCAATGCCTAGGATACAAGAGATGCTGAATGAACATTTTTCAGTGACCCAAAGGGATTTCCCTCAAAACCTATTTTCTGTTCCTATGAAGGCATAAGGCTATAAATAAATTTGGTTTGGACACCAAGGTTAGGGGAGAAGCAGAGGTCTACAATGCTTGCAATTTCTACGCTTTCCCACCACTGAGTTAGAAGGACTACAAGACTGGACCAGTGTGAGACCATAAGGACACCACAGTGACATCTCAAGAACACAAAGGCAAGAAACCACCTCTTACCTGCCAAGGGGCAAGGGACCAGTTCTCCTTCCAGCCGTGTTTCAACGTCTCCTCCACTACAAGTGTCCCCAGAAATCTTCCGATAGCTGTCACCCCCCCACCCCAAGAGCGAGAGGTCAGACACATCCAAGAATAGTCATTAAGCCTTTGTACCTGGAAATCTATTTCCTATCCACATCCATCTCTTCGTTTCCCTATTGGATGGTTCATCATTCTCAATCGGTTCTGCTTATAATTACACCGGGCAGCCCAGACAATGGGAAGACTGTCCCGGGCAAGAGTTTACATATATCTCCTCCGCGAAGTTCTATGAAGATGCGTCCCTGCTGAAGTTCATGACTTAACCTACGGCTAGAGCTACAGAGAAGCTTACAGGTTTGCTTTTTTTCTCCTCAGAGGGTAGAAGCATTTGTAAACATCCTAATTCTAAATATTGCCCAAACTACCTGAGACCTGCTAGCTCGGAATCCAAGCGTTTGGAGTATGAAAGGTGCCAGGGTGGCTTTCTCTGCTTTCTTGAATTCAGTGCAGACGTGTCCCCTGCAGGGTGACCTTTGTGAGACATACCCTCTTGTTCTCCTGTATGTAGAACCCACAGCACAAGGCACAGGAGGGGAGTATGACTTCCCAGAAAACTCAGGATCCGGAACACAGACCTCTAATGACAGATCTTCACTCATCTTGAAGCCAAAGTCACTGAAAAGGCAATTGGGGTTTGTTAGGGCCGACGGCTTGTGTGCTGGGGACATGCCAATACCAACCCAATCCGCCAGCTTATTATAAGTTACTAAAGATGTCCCTTTGAAGAACACTCCTTTTTTATACTAATGCCTTTTCAATACAAACTTCCTATTTGAACCGTGATTGGAAAACCACGATCATATGCCAAACACAAACAAAAGCAATACAAATCATTATATCAGAAACAAAATAATATTAGTTTTTTTTAGCTGGGTCCAGTTCCTCACCCAAAGACTCTGGGTCTACCCTCTCTGTGTTAAGAGGAATTAGCAAATGCTAAAGAGTTACTAGCACCTAGTGATACTTTCTCGTTGACATGCTTAAAAGCATGATAAAGGAAATTTAAAAGAATCACCTTTTTTTAAAAGTAAAGATTCAGTAATATTTAAGACCATGTCCATGCACTACCTAAAACCACCATGGGTGTCTCATCCTGCACTTCAGGACACAACACTTTGGTCCACGAGACTTTCCACAGTTTGGCGGCCACATCTCTGCCAAAACGCCCAGCTCGAGGGGCGGAGCCCTGGAGTAGGAACCAGGGACGCTAGGTCCAGTCCCGACTCTGCCCTTTCCAGCACTGAACAACGCCAAGAGGAGGCAGCTGCACTACATTACATCCTGAAGCTTGGCCCAAACCCTAAATTAGAGCTCAAAGAGATTCTCCACATTGGCATGCTCTATTTGAAGGGCTTCCTTTCTATGAAGTCCAATGAATACTTACTTTTAAAAAATTTTTTTAAAGTTTGTTTACGTTTGAGAGAGAGTTCTAGTAAGGGAGGGGCAGAGAGAGGGGAAGACTCAGAATCTGAAGCAGGCTCCAGGCTCTGAGCTGTCAGCACAGAGCCCGATGTGGGGCTCGAACTCATGAATCATGAGATCATGACCTAAGCCAAAGTCTGATGCTTAACGGACTGAGCCACCCAGGTGCATCCCCCTCTTTTTTTTTTTAAATTTTGTCCAATGAATACTTATTAAACACTTTCTCCATGAGAAGTGTTGACAGGTACTGGCCTAAGTGGTTTTTGTGTTCATTATGCCATAATCCACATTTAGCAGGAATTTTTCAGAAGGGAGAGTTTTATTACTGTGTGGAACACCTCTCCTTCATCAAATTAGGTCATTTTTACCGAACGGCTGCTTATTCTTTCTCGGGGCTAAGAGGAGTATCAGCCCATCACTTATTTGCTTCCAAAGGCAAGACACCTATTCTTGGCTTCTGCAATCTGTTGGCCACGGCCTAATAGGCAGCTTCTGAAAAAACTAACTCTGAAATCAAGGGACATAGTGGCCAGTGGCCATATGTCAGAAAGGACTGTCAGAAGCAACCGGACTTTCACAGGTAGCTGTCACTCAATGGCGGAACAAATGCACAGAAACTATAAGCTTGCTCGTTCTCATTTCCCCTGCTGTCGTCCACCTCAGACCACCCCCCTTCTCACTGCCATGGTCCAGGGCCACCCAGAATTCCCAAGAGGTGCACAGCTCTACCAGCTCTGTTCTAGCAGCTACACAAACACAGGCCTTGAAATCAACACACTCTTTATCATTTTCGTGGGGCATCACCCTCACGATCCCATCTGGCCTCAAGCCTAACCCTGTGAGAGGCCAGACAGGCGGCTTCCCTTGGCCATAACGAAGACTCGGCACCTACTGGGTTTCCATGAGTCACCTGGGATGAGCGTGGTAGGCCAGTGAGAGCCGAGCCAGTTTACCAAGAAGGCACACCAGCCTCTGGGTGGTGTTTCTGTTGTTGTTTTGGGAGAAAAGGAGCAGATTTTAGAGAAAAAGCATAGCAGGGGTCATTGAGGGGAAGAAAAGGTGTTAGAATTTCTTACAAGTTTATTATTTCATTTTGAAGCAGTCAGTGGGGATAAAAGAGGGAAGGGAGAGCTACAACCTTTTCCGTGATTAGGGCCTCTACAGTTGGGGACCTGAGGCCAGAAAAGCTCTCAGAGTAAAACTTACAATCTGGGGGCATCTAAGGGAGGACACAGGGTAGCAGAGGGGCACGGAACTGACATCACTGGGAACGTCAAACAGCTCTGTGGGTTCACAATGCAAGGGTCTATGCCGTTATCTCAGAACCACATGGCTTTCAAAGAGAATGTGTGTCCTGTCCGGTCTAAAACCCTGCTGTTCAAAGGATGGGTTTGCAGATTAGCAGCCTCAGGGCCACTCAGAGCCTGGCACAGCTACAGAGAGCCCCAGAGCCAGAGTCGGAACTGGCATTTTAACAAGATCCCAGGTGGTAAATACACACGCTCGAGTTTCAGAAGCAAGGTCTTGGGCAGGAGGTGGCCCGATCTGGTCAGCTGTTCTTGTAAGCAGAGCTTTCTGGGCCCACAGGCTTCCCCATTCACCTGTGGCTGCTTCTGTGCTCCTACAAGCAGCTGCGATGCCCCCAATAGAGACTGTATGACTTGCAAAGCCTAAGACATTAGCTCCGTAACCCTGTTCCAATCTCTGGGCTAGAACGTATCAGAGGCTCTTGGCTTTCATCAAGATAAGAGGGGCTTCCCAAAGCAAACGTTAATTTTTCTGTGCCTCAGCAACTCCTGAGAAATGAGTTACATGCCTAGTTCAATACCCATGTTCTCTGCTGACAGCCCGCCCAGCCTGGGGTGATTTCATGCTGGATTTCAGGCAGACTTGAGGGACTGCCTGGGGGCTCCCAGACCCAATGTGCTTTACTGCTAGAATCATCCTCCGAAACTAAGCTCTGTTCTGATCATTGACTCTCCTCAAAAGTCTTCAAAGACCTCCTGCTGCTTAAAGAATAAGGTCCCCACCCCCTTCTGCGCTACCCTTACCTACCAGACCCACTTCCACTCACTGACCCCACATCATACCGACCAGTCATCCAAGCCAAACTGCCAATGACCTCACTGCCGCCCCTCCGCCTCCCCACTGCTGCCATATCTTCTCAGAATGTTCCTGTCCACAAATCCAGGTGCTTCCCGAAGGCCCATCTCTAACAGTGCATCCTCCAAGAACTTCCCCAAATCAGCCTCCTTCCTGCCGATAATCACAATAAAAGCACCCCTTCCTCCTCCAAGGTTCCTGCGGCTTTCCCTCTAGGGCCACAGCTATCTGTGCCCCTGTCATTTCTTATGTTGTCACCATTCTCAGCCCTACCTTGGGTACTTTGCTCCAGGACTGATACAAACACATATGCACTGACATCCCCTCACTGCAGATCAAGAAATACACTCCCTATAGGATAGGGCTCCTAAGGAAAAGGAGTTACTTACATTGGAAGCTTGAGTGTGTTCCCTTTTGAAGCTGCCCTCATGGAAATAAATCCCAGAGTGATCTGTTCCTAAATACACTATGGCAGCTTCCCTAGGCTGTAAGTCCTCTCCCACATTTCGTAGCTGCAAGAATTAAATCGATTAACCAATATAAAAAGTGCCTAGCACCATTCCTGGCACATAAGAGATGCTTAAGAAATATCTATTTCTGGGGCACTCGGGTGGCTTAGTTGCTTAAGCGTCCAACTTTGGCTCAGGTCACGATCTCACCATTCGTGGGTTCGAGCCCCGCATCCTGTTCTGTGCGGACAGCTCAGAGACTGGAGCCTGCTTCAGATTCTGTGTCTCCCTCTCTCTCTCCATCCCTCCCCTGCTTACACTCTGTGTGTCTCTCTCTCAAAAATAAATAAACATTTAAAAATTTAAAAAAAAAAAGAAATATTACTTCCTATGAGTGCCTTCTTTCCCTCAAGGGAAGGGGCCACGCCCTAGTCTGAGTAAGACACAACCCTGTCACCAGGCATCCAAGAGGGACCCACCATTCATAGTCCTCTCGGGTACAGGAGCAGTTAGACACAACCACGGGCCGGTCAAAGTCTTCTCCGTTAAAGCACGTCGCGTGGGGCGTCCTCCGCTTGAAAACCGTCTTGTGCCCCAGCAAGCACTCGTTGCCCCGCTCATCAGATGGTGACCACAGCTTGTAGTCATTCTCCGTGCAGGGAACCCCTGAGGAAAAGGGAACGCGGCATGAAGCATCTGAGGGAGACCCGTGTGGCCCCTCAGCCCAGCCCCCCACGTCCAGCTTGTCCCCATGCTTCTCAGCGGGCACTCACGTGGACCTCTGGAGCTGCTCCGGGCCTCTGATTGGCTTGCTCTGATGCCCAGAGGCCCCCACATAATGAGCAAGGTACCTCCCAAAACACAGATGTTCGTGTAAGAAACCGGGGAAGAAGCAAGCCACCCTTGGCATGCTCTGAACTTCTGAAATACTTTGGCAGTCTCTGCAGTTCCCTCTAGAAATGGGTATCAGAGGTGCTTATCTCCCAGGGAGTTACGCTGAATCCTTGGCAGATGGTGTCACCCAGGGTTGTTTCCTGCCTGCTTTCTGGGGGGTAGTGTGGGCACACCGGGAAGGAATGGCCCGAGAGCAACAGAGTCCACCGCCACCACTTGGAAGGCTCTTCATGGAAGATCCAAGGAAAGAGGGGCTGAGAAATGGTAAGACCACCTCGATGATGACTCCATCCACACATACTCACTTGGAATTTAAGTAGAGTGGCTTCTATAGGAATTCCGAAGTATACGTATGTCTATACTGGCACTCTGGGTCTTTTTTATAGATATGTCTCCAGTCAGATGATGCGCTGCCTGAAGCTGATGAACAGCTGTCTACCTGATGCCATTCGAATCGGCAAATACTTATTAGGCCCTGACTGCAAGGCTCTCAGGCTGTTAGTCGGTAGAAAATACACATGCACAAGACAGGTTCTTATCTCTAAGACCCCTGTCATCCAGTCGATGGGGAATGATACAAAGAGGGTGACAGACTCAAGGTTATAATTCACGGCGTGAGGGGTGCGCTTATGCTCTGGACACAGAGAAGAGGGGAGGGGTCCCCTGGCTGGGATATTTTTTTTTTTCTTTAATTTTTTTTTAATGTTTTATTTATTTCTAGGAGAGAGAGAGAGAGACAGCATGAGCAGGGGAGGGCCAGAGAGAGAGGGAGTCACAGACTGAAACAGGCTCCAGGCTCTGAGCCGGCAGTCAGCACAGAGCCCGACGCGGGGCTCGAACCCACGAACCGTGAGATCGTGACCCAAGCGAAAGTCGGACGCTCAACCGACCAAGCCACCCAGGCGCCCCGGGGATATTAAGCAGCCAAGTGCATTGGATCCTGAAACATAAAAAGGAGCTCAACTGGTGGAAAGGGAATGGGTAGCAGAGGGAATGTTCCAGACTGTTGGTATGATGTCAGCTGAGGCAGGAGGAGGAGGAAAGAGGGGAGGAAGGAAGGTGCTGGATTACCCTTCTCCCTGCTTACTTACACATCCTGTGGCTACCTAACAGATGGCAGATGAGATCCTAGACAACTGAGAGGACCCTGCATCGTGGGGCGCACACATTCACAGAGGAGTCACCCGCTGAGTCTGTCACGCCAGAACTGCTGATGCAGAAGGATGCTTTTCATTTACTCACCTGTTCAACACCCATACACCTAGACCTACTACATGCCAGCGACTCGACAGGAAGTGAGGATACAAAACAAAACACCTGCTCCTACTAAGAGCTGCCTGAGTAACAGCCTCTGTATTTCGCAGTCACTCACTGCATATGTGCCCATGTCCTTTAACGGCTACAGACTCTCCAGAATACAGAGTATCTAAGCCAATGCTTCGGTCGTTAAATATTTCTACACAAAGGGCCGAGGAGGCAACGGCTTACCCAGGGCATCCGTGGCATTGACCTGGAGGATCAGCCAGCTGTGGACATTCTCTTTGTTGGAGCCAAAGATGGTGAAGACAGTGCTCTTCTCGCCGGGTTCCGTGAGGAGCCCGTACACGAACACGGGGCTCTCAGAGAAGATGAATGTTTTCCAGGTCTCCCCTTCGTTGGTGCTGTATCTGCCAAAGGGGAGTAAGAGGATCCTTACAGTTAAAGTCTCTAGGGCAAGGGCTTAGTTTCCAGATAACACACACTAGTGATGGGAGCCAGGAGTCCTTGGAGAAATAGCCGGAGCAGGGAACGTTCGAGGTTGTGCCAGAAAGCAAGGAGATGCTAAGGGACCACCGGAGTCAGTGCAGTGGGACCCAGCAGCCAGCTCGATGGGAGTTCCAACTGGCCAATGTGGGAAAATTTGCACATGAAAAAGAAAAATGCCGATAACAGATTATACCCTAAATAGAAACAGGATAGGGGTCTCTGAATGATGCTAAAAGGAAGAGAGAAGGGAAGGGGGAAAATGTCTTTCTTATATTACAATGGTACCTAATACGTATTGAAAACAATGACAGTATGAGATAAATGACCATTCCTTAAGCCACATATTAACCACCGGGTCAGGCAAGATAAGCACTGGAGGCTATAACCACTGAGTGGAAGAGTGCCGGGGACCAGGGTGCTCACATGGTTTACATGGGGACCAGGGTGCTCATATGGTCTAAAGCTATCAACCCAGAGATGAAACCTTCACTACAAATGGAAATGCAATTCTATGATGGATAAGAGTCACAACGTTCCCCAAACTTAGCGTCACTCACAATGGGATGATCTGACGTTACGTGCCTCCTAAGAATAACCTATCATCTAGGTCTATTCTGTACAACTGGACAAATCCAGAATGCGGGACGGTCCACATGGCCACTGGTCTGGATGTTTCCAAAACAAAACTGAGGCCATGCAAAAATGAACAAACCAACAAAAAAAGGCGGAAGGTGTGTTACAAAGAGACGAAAGAGGTGTTAACGACCCCATGCAATGTGTAAACCTTGACTGCATCCCAGACTGGGGGGTGGGGCAGTGGTAAGTCATTTGGGACAACTGAGAAAATATAAATACAGTGTACAAGGGACACTGAGCTCATGTTAATTTTCTTAGATGTGATAATGGCATTCTGATTGCATAGAAACACCGTTATGTTTTGGAATACATGTTTTAAGTATTTAGCTGTGAGGCAGCATGATGCCTGCAACTTTCTTTCAACTGACTCAGCATGGGACGCCAGAGTGACTCAGTAGGTTAAGCAACCAACCTTTGATTTCAGCTCAGGTCATGATCTCACAGTTCATGAGTTCGAGCCCCGCATCAGGCTCTGCACTGATAGTGCAGGGCCTGCTTGAGATTCTCTCTGCCCCTATCCCATTCGTGCTCATGCTCTGTCTCTCAGAATAAACATTTTTTTTAAAAACCCACAAATGACAAAAGGATAGACACACAGGCAGACAAGATGAACAGATGATAGAAGTAAAACAAACTGGCAAAATGTTAGCAACTGGTGATTCTGGGCAAACTTCTGTGAGTGTCCTTTAAACAATTGTTCTACTTTTTCCTGTGGTCTGACAGATTTTTAAGTTGGAGGAAGAATATGTGCAGAGAAGTCTCCAAGGAAGATTTGTTCTTGTTACGGCAAAACAAGAAAGCAAGCTCTTTAAAGAAATAAGCAGCACTGAAATACTTGTGCTGATTTTTCACGACTGAGAGGGAGGGGAAGTGGAGGGGAAGATGGGGAATATCTAACACTTGCTTCGTTTCCCAGGAAGCTGGCTGAGATGCTCAATGTGAGAAACCACTCACTTAGAGCTTTCTTCAGTGTCACACAGCTCTCGCTTCTTTCTTAAATATGTGCAAAATTTCTCTTTCAGATTTCCCATATTTTTGAGATTTTAGTTTTTCTCCCTCAATGAATGGTTGACATAATCTTTTCACAACACCATACAATCCAAACACTCTCTCCCAAATCAGGGTGACGAAAATGGGTACTTCTGCGAGAGGCTGTAGGTTAAACGAGAGGTGGGGAGCGGTGTACAAGGCAACATAAATAAAGGTCAGTGAGGACCAAGTGACTCCGCTATGGATCTTCCAAAGGGGAGAAATTCTCATCTGGCTGAAGTGCTTTTGGTTGAAGCTCATTTTGAAGCAGGTACAGGGATAAGTTAACTCATTCACTCTTCTTGCACCAGTCAGATGAACTAACAGCCAAGGATCACGTTTAAAGAAAAATGAATGGGAAGAGTTGGCCTATTATCCACACAGGACAGGAGCTATCAGGGATAATTCTGAAAGTCCATCTATTTGCACACTGCCCAGTTAACTCTATTTAGGAGCTCCTTGAACCCTAGACAACCTTAGGAAATGAAGCATCCCATTTCTTGAGAGGTTCCCAGATGATTGTGGGATGACACTTTGATGAGACTAATAAGCAGGTACATGGCCAAGCACAGCCTTGTATTTGAGAGTAAACTGTGCATTTAGAAAACAACGCTTTTTCCAAATTTCGGGGAAGGGGCAAGTCACATTAGCACTGCAACAGTTAGGAGGACATCTATTCTGGACCAGGTTCCAATCCCCTAAAGAAGAACATGTACTGATGGGGTGAAAATGACAAGAACCTTGCAAGAAAACAACCAAGTCGTCTCTGTATTCCTACAGTCAGGAAAGACCATACAGAGTCCTAACCTTCAGGACTGGAGGATTCAAAATGTTCAGATAAAAATACATACATAATCCCAGGGCCAAAACTCTCAGAGGATAGGAAGGAACATAAATAATACAATAAATATATAATATAAATATAACACAGATACACTAAATAAGGGAAGTGTTAATACTCAAGACATTAATGTGTGGCTGTACAGAAAGGTCCTTGATGAACTCAGATTTTGAAACATGTTCACGATAAGAAAAGAGCCATACAATCAAAGGCAAAAAAAATTAAAGAGCAGTACTAATCTGCTAGTTAATTCTTGTTATAATTCTTATGGCAAATAATCTACAATAATAGTGACCAAACAAACCCAAAATGAGTCCAAGATTATGCTTCAAATTTTGAAAATTAGTGGTAGATTCATGGGTCAATGGGATGGTGGGTTGGTTGCCACTAAATTCTATAAAAAATCAGCAAGAAATTCTATAAAGAACCAGAAAGGGATCATCCTTTTGATGGTATAAATAGCAATAATAGAAAGGAGGGGGAAAAAGGCAGAACTCAATTTCTATTTTGGTTGTATCATTATCAAGAATGATCTTCAGAATGGACAAAGCAGGAAAAAAACAGGGACGTTAAAAAGAAAATGAGTACAAAAGAGAGAACATTCTAGAGAACAGAAAACTTCAAAATATGATGGCAGATAAGAATCTCTAAAAAGATCACAGAGAATAGAGGTTCTTGAGGAGGAAGGAAGTTTTAGTTTCCTAATGAACTAAACTTTACTTGAGGAGGAAGAATAGTTTTACTTTCCTAATGAACATAAAAATGGGGGCACCTGAGTGGCCCAGTTGGTTGAGCATCCGACTTCAGTTCAGGTCATGATCTTGTGGTTCAGGAGTTGGAGCGCCACATCGGGCTGTGTGCTGACAGCTCAGAGCCTGGATCCTGCTTCAGATTCTGTGTCTCCCTCTCTCTCTGCCCTTCCTCCTGCTCACATACTCTCTCTCTCAAAGAATAAACATTTAAAAAAATTAAAAAATAAATAAAAGAATAAAAAAATGGTTTCAAGAATGGAAACAGCTGATCTGAGGGATCTTAGAAAAGTCAGTCAGGGCTGGGACTCACAAGGTTTCACACCCAAGTCACAATAACTGAATTCCACTTCCTTTTCTCATAGTAATCCTTGATTTGAAGAAGAGGGCAATGATAGAGATGTTCTTTTTTCATAAGGATCTCTGTGGACCTAGAGATAAAATTCACTGCTGGTAAAACAAGTCCCTGGTTTGCTGACTACCAACATATGGTGTGACCCCAACCCAAAATGAGATCGCTAGTTCCCACATTGCTCTGTGCTTTGGTCAAAGATATGAGTAACAATATGGAAGGTCAACCCATGAAACCTGCAAAGCCTACATAAGGCTAATTGTACTGACAATGCAATTAATCCCAAAACAGGATTAAAAACACTTTGAAAAGGAAAGCAAAGTGAGAATAAAGTTCCACATGTTATTTCAAAAGCCTACCTGCTCAGACACAAGATGGAGAAAATCTAATCTTAAATACCATATGATTTCACTTGTATGTGGAATTTAAGAATCAAAACAGATGAACTTAGGGGAAAGGAAGGAAAAATAAAGTAAGATAAAAATGGAGAGGAAAGCAAACCATGAGACTCTTCACTACAGAGAAGAAACTGAGGGTTGCTTGCTGAAGGGGAGGTGGGTAAGGAGATGGGCTAGATGGCTGATGGGCATTAAGGAGGGCACTTGTTGGGATGAGCACTGGGTGTTATACATAAGTGATAAAACACTAAATTCTATACCTGAAACCAATACAACACTATATGGAAGAAAAAAGTAGTAATAATAAAACTTCTATAGGCCAAGTGAGGTAATATGCTCAATTATTTGCATTAATTATCTTGTTTAAATTACCATGTTAAAAATTCTGTGAGGTGTTTCCACAGACGAGAAAACTGAGTCTCAAAAAGATAAGTAATTGCTAAGGTTACCCAGCTAGTGAAGGGTTATAATGCCTTTGTAATTAAGTTGTAATACAATTCAAACTGGCTTGGAGTAAGAAAACAAGAAAACAAAAAAAAACAAAAGAATGTATTATTTCATGAACTTGAGCAATCCAATGACAAATGTGCCCTATGGCAAAGCTGTCATTGGGATTTAGTCTGTTTTCTCCATCCCTTGATCATTTTTCCCTTTCTGTGGTCTTCATTCTCAGGCTATTTTCCAGCATGATCGCAAAGAAAGTCACTAGCATCCTGGGATATGTCTGTGGATACAGACAATCACATACTTTCAGAGATGCAAAGAAATAAAAGTATGCTGCCTGTATAACTACCCTAGTTTTGTTCTAGATTCTCCATTAATGCTGAAGGTGGCACTTCCACCTACCCTACACACATCTATTTAAAATAATAAAGTCTCAGGGCGTCTGGGTGGCTTAGTCAGTTGCGGGTCCAAC